ACTGACAAATATAAGAACTCTCAACAAAATTTACGGACAAAAACAATTTTTTACGGACACATTTAACATAAAATGTTGACCTTAAAGCGAACGAATATGAAGCATAATCCAAGCATTGTAGCTAAAAAATGTAAAGTATCCATATGAGTACGTCTCTATTACCATGCTCATATTTTATAACGTTAGTTTATTGTATGACATTCATCATCAGTGACAGTGTTTAATTCCTCCTGCTTATGATCATACATAGAAACATTTACACTGTCGATCATTGTGGGAGTAATTTTTCCCGGTCCATTTCTTACAGTCAGTAAACTTTCCAACATTGGAGTAGACAATTTGTTTCTCAAGTTGGTTTTCAATAAACAAACAGCAGAAAAAACGCGTTCTACTTCTGCTGTGCCATGTGGAAGCGCCAACATTGTTTGTGCAAACTTCGAAAGTAGCGGAAATCTGTACTTTGTTTTCGATATTTCTAGAGTCTAGTCATTTGACCAATTTGATGCCAGAAAGCATCATAACCTCCGTCGGCCTTGACATTGTTTAAATCCGGAACTTGGTAGTAAATAAACTCGGCCTCTAAACAATCAAAATCTGCTGGAGACACAATTTGTGGAAAAAGCTGGGCCAGTTCCAAAATTTCCGACTGTTGCACCGATATTCTGTTAGTGGGTTCTAGTACTGACATGAGCTTCAGCACTCTGTTGCTAATAGGCATTCTTTTCTGGATTGCACCGACTGGATTGGTATAAAATGCAAGCACATCAACATAAAACTTTTCCACAGTCGATGGATCATCTTCTTTTTGCAGCTGTAGTTTAGTTTGATAACCAATGAAAGTCCAGAAAGCTCTTACAGTTTATTAATAGAGCGCGGGATGCCACTAAAATAATTTAAAAATTAAAATTTAAATCAAGAAAATAGATATCACAAACATGATTTACTGTTTTTTTTAAACGTTGAGATTCCACGTTTTGTCGATTTTTTTTACGGAAGTCTTCATTTTTTAAAGGAATTTTACGGACAGGCAATTTTACGACAAATCTTTACGGACTGTCCGTAAATTTACGGACGGTTGGCAACCCTGCTGCCAGGGTTTCTTTGATATTTGTAAGCTTGGTGAATAATTTGTGACTTTGTCTTAACTGCCAAGATATCTTTGATGTTTGTAAGCTTCATGAATAATTTGTCACTTTGTCTTAACAGACAAGATATCTTTGATGTTTGTAAGCTTCATGAATAATTTGTGACTTTGTCTTAACTGGCAAGATATCTTTGATGCTTTGTCTTAACTGGCAAGATATCTTTGATGCTTTGTCTTAACTGGCAAGATATCTTTGATGTTTGTAACTTTGTACCGGTATCTTTTAAAAATATCATTAACAGCTTGTAATTATTTTAGTAATAAGTGAAAAAGTTTAGCAAGATAATCTTTATAAAAATTCATCAACATAGACACATTTAGAATGTTATTTTTAGATTTAAAACCCCAAATAGATTCGATGAATCAGTCCAAAACGGTTAATCACTTTCGGAAGGATTTGTCGATTATTCCCTATGCTCAATAACTCTATTATATTACTTAAACATGATGCAATGAATGCAACGTATTTTGATGAACTCATTGAGTATTGTCAATGGAAGTCTATTATATTTATAGTAAATACAAAAAAAAAATAAAGGGAGTGAATCCAAAACAAAGTCGTCGTGGGCCGCTAAATCTGAAATAGCCAATATAACTTATAACATATGTGGATCAAATCACTAAGCATAGTAGTCTATTAGACTACCAGTATTAGTAAATATTTTGATCATATCTCATCCTTGCCGGGGGGGGGGGGGTAATTAATGAGTGCAAACTCGACGACCCACCGACACCATCTCCAAAGTGATGTTATTAGTAGTGTATACTCATGGGTCAGCATCAATATAACTTATAACATATGTGGATCAAATCACTAAGCATAGTAGTCTATTAGACTACCAGTATTAGTAAATATTTTGATCATATCTCATCCTTGCCGGGGGGGGGGGGGGTAATTAATGAGTGCAAACTCGACGACCCACCGACACCATCTCCAAAGTGATGTTATTAGTAGTGTATACTCATGGGTCAGCAGTGTGTTTTTGAGTAGGGATATAATGGATATATTTTTATAAATTTTATCTGCTAAGACTAAGAAAATGTTTTGGGAGATGCAGACACTTGCGAATTTTTAAAACTGCTATCTATTTATAATTCATATTAAAATTAAAGAGCTGCACGTTAATGTTACTGACCGCAGCTAATAGCAGTGCTATAGCAAATGATCAAATTAGTAGCCCATGGGCGCAGTGAATCCATGTTCAATGTTATCATATCCTTGAATAGTCTATGCCTGAGTACTTTGACACTGTAACATTATATTTGAATAGTCTATGCCTGTGACACTATAACACTATATTTGAATAGTCTATGCCTGTGACACTATAACATTATATTTGAATAGTCTATGCCTGTGACACTATAACTTATAACATTATATTTGAATGGTCTATGTCTGTGACACTATAACATTATATTTGAATAGTCTATGCCTGTGACACTATAACTTATAACATTATATTTGAATAGTCTATGCCTGTGACACTAAAACTTATAACATTATATTTGAATAGTCTATGCCTGTGACATTATATTAGAATAGTCTATGCCGAAGTACTTTGACACTGTAACATTATATTTGGAATTTACAAATCTCTCAAGTCCTTATGGTAGCTGTCATTTTAAAAAGAAATTGAGGTTTTTCTGGAAGCTGTCACTTGAAAAAAAAAAATGTACGGTAATAAAAACAATCACAAATCTTAAATTTCACAACACCTTTATTAAAAAGGAGTGTACTTATATTTTAGTTACCTGTAGTAATTTTTTTTTTGGTTATAACTGGAGAAAGTAGGTTCCCAACTCATATTATTCATTAATTTGTTTGTAAAGTATCATGTGCAATGCTAATCTTGATGAAAAAGTAAAGCAAGACAATTCAACTAGAAGTGTTAATGAGCACAGCCAACTATCATTTCAAAACGATCACTTACGGGTACTTTTATTCTATATCTTCACTAGCATACATTGTAACAAACTAGAGCAATATTCCTCCCAAAGTACGGTACATTTATACAATTATAGATAGAACCATAGTGGACTACTTGACATTATAATAGGGAAGTTATAGATATTCCAGTTGCACCAGTTTTTTTTTTTTTACATTCCGGGTGTGGAGAACACTGTTTTATTAACTAACTAGAACATTCCTCCCAGAATACATAAATTATAATACGGTATGATAATTAGTGATGACCTCAAATGCGAGCTTAGACTTAGAGATTCAGGTTGCTCTAGTTCAAATTCTATGTTTGTAAAAAGTTAAGACAAGAGTTTTTTGTATTCTGGGGTCAAGTACATTGTCTTACACCATGGCAGAGCAGTAAGTAAGAAAAGGAATCCATGTATAAGATTGTATTTCAATATAGCAGTTTTAACGCCCTATGTACTATATATATATATATTCATATATATATAAAAAAAAATTTTTTAAATGCTAAAAATTTAATTAGTGAACTGGGCAGGTCATGTTTAAATACTGCTACAATAATTAAATCTGACAACTAGCACAAGAGTAAGTACATTGGTAGATTATAGATCATTAATCATTAAAATTCTATTAGCCAATTAAATATTGTGTACTCCAGGCCTGCACAACGTACTGCCCGCCAGCACCCACTTTATGGCGCGGAAAACGAATTATTCTTTATTGCAGACTGCAATGTGCAGCCAGTATTTTCTTAATATCTCCCCCCCCCCTCCCCATTTTCTTTCGGCCCGCACAAGTTTTTAAAAAAAAGTATTTCAGCCCATCTTACATTTTGACTTGTGCAGGCCTGGTGTACTCTATTGAAAATGCTTACAATGTTATTTATTCTAGGTGTAGTTTATTACAGTACAGTATTTCATTTTTACAATATTAAAGCCCCTGATTTTGGTCACATTGGGAATAAGAAGAGCACATTATAAGTGGTTTGTGTTTGACTCTAAAACCTGGTTCAGGGCAGGGAGATTAGCCTCTGGTGTTGGTAACCAATATGAAAACAGACTTAATAAGTTTTGTTATCAGCCCGTAATTCTGTTGTGATGAACGTACAAGTACAACTAACAATGACATCAAATGCATACATCACCACAGTTCAAGCAAAATAATCACCTGGCATTGTCAAAATGATAAACCTTACAAGCAAACGAGAACAAGAAAGAAAAAAATGAGCAAAGAAATGATTAATATAGGTAATAAAGATGTTTAATTTATATCTTGCACATTGAACTTTTTCAAGGGATATGAGAAGACAAAATAATGGGCATCTGGTAAAAAATCCATCTCTTTGTAATTTGAAAAGAGGTGCCACCTATCTTAGTTATATGTATAACAAATACTGAATGCAAAAGTGATTTAATTGCACACAACAATAATGTGACAAATCAGTTACAATTCTAAGCCTGAGGCAATGAAAAACATGTAACATGACGCTATCACTAATGCAAGTGGGGACTTACCAAATTAATGGTTAGGAAATAACTGAACAAAAGCAGTTTATGTTGACTGTTATGAAGCTATCTTAACAACATGCATAAAATATAATGTTTATATGCTGGCATCAGTGTGCAAATACTGTCACATACCGGTAACAGAATTTTAAAAAGTAGCTTAAAAATTCAACTGGTGAAAAAATGTGATGCTAGTACACGCAAGATTTGGTCATTATAATTATTAAAATTTGATAAAATTTTATTTCAAAAACGGGAGAAGCAGTATGTCAACAATTACAGAGCAATAATTGACCTTTAAAAATAGTGTAATAACAATCTATGATTTATTTGAAACAAATTTTGACCTTAAAAACCCAGCAGCACCACAAAATGTATCACAAATGAAAAAAAAATAAAAATAAATAAACATTAAAAAATGAGCTTCTCCACAAAAAAATTCTGAATGGAACATTTCATTTTTACAAACAAGTACTCAATTATTGCACTTGTAAGTAATGTAAGGGACACAAATCTCATTCCTGACAGTTCAAAAGGGGTACACAGAATGCTTACATAAGTATTACCCTGGCAGTGCTATCGTAAAACTATTTATGCTTCAGTGGAGACTGCAAAATTCCTTGTCATTTAACTGCGGTTAAAAAACATCATGGCAAAAAATGGGGATGACAGGAGGGCCTTGTAGATATGTGGCTTACTAGAATGCTGAGTAAATATTTTTTTTACCATTCTTAAACAAACGTCTTGTGGAAAATGTAGGTGCTCAAATGGGACAAATAAACCTGGGAACCACTGGCTTAACATGACCATAATGTAATCATTTTATATGAGTTAATTTTTTTTAAATTCTTGTAGTCTAACCCTTAAAAAAATAAGTATTTTCTACAGTTGGTGGCACCACACAGACATGCCATTGTAAAACGTGACACCCTTTTAGGGCTTCCTGTCGTAGATTCACTTTCTGAAGAGGGAGGCGTGGGAATGCCTGCAGTATTATTTTGGAAGTCATCTGAGGTATCTGCAACCTTTTCAGGTGACAGATGATTCTCTGTTAAAATGTCTATGTTCGGCTGACATTTTGTAGGTGAACTGATGCCACTTTGTCCAGAATTATGATCAAGAGCTGCAATGTCTGTAGTTTTATGCTCATGCTTGTTAGGTGAGGGAAGGCTTTCATTTCCATCTGATGTTACATGACTAGAAGTTTGTTTATCTAATCTTGGTGTGGCTCCTGGGTCTGTATCCAAAGACTCTCCAATGAATGATTGATTGTTCTCTGGCATTATATTTCCTTAAGATACGGAAGCAATGTCAATATTACTACACATGTCTAACAGTTACAGGTTTTCATTATTTGAATTACATAAGATATAACTTGAGCAGGCATCCCAAATATTAATTAAAATACAAGAGGCATCAACAGCTTTTTTAATGTTTCCCACCTTGTCTTTCTGGACATGAGACATTTTTAAAGAATATTTTAACTACTGATTTGTAGATTATGGCAGAATTGAAGGCTTATTTCTAAAGGTAACATCCATATATTATGTATGCAAAAAAAAAAGAAAAAAAAAAAAGTAACATTGTCATACCCCTCCCCCATTCACCTGTATGAGACATTTTTAAAGAATATTTTAACTACTGATTTGTAGATTATGGCAGAACTGAAGGCTTATTTCTAAAAGTAAAATCCATATATTATGTATGCAAAAAAAAAAGAAAAAAAAAAAAGTAACATTGTCATACCCCTCCCCCATTCACCTGTTTCAACTTATTTATGGACAATTATTACATATACAGCAACAATTAAACAAAATCACCATAAACCATGGGTTCTTAATCTATTTGCAGCGCTGCAACCACCTCTCAATTTTAAAACATATGGTACCCCGCCCCTGGATAAAAGTATTGCAATATTATGAAAATAATTAATTTATGGTAGATTTCCTTCTTTTATTTTACTAACTTGCTGGAAATAAATGTACATACCCAAGTAGCAAGGGGGGAAACCCCACCCCCCCACCTATACAAAAAATATATGGATGTACATTAAACTTCAATTGATTTGTCAGTCCTTTGGATTAGCCCTGTGCCCCATCCTATTTAGAAGAGATAGCATCTAAGAACAGTTAACGAGGCTTTTAAGAACCTACCACTCATGTAATCAAAAGACAGCTCTTCATTGACTTGTATATCTCTCTTGGCAAACAAACAAATGTGTGGGAGCCTGGGATCTATCGTGTTGATCCATACAACGTGAACCTCTAGGTTTGGATCACACTGAAGCAAATCAATAACAGTTCAAATTAAATGTCATTAAAAAAAAAAAAAAAAAAAAGAAGAAAAATTTATAATGGAAAAAATAAAAAAAATTATAAAAAAAAAAAAATAAGCAAATCAATAACAGTTCAAATTAAATGTCATTAAAAAAAAAAAAAAAAAAAACGTAGGTGAACTTAGTATGGCAAAAGTAACTAATATTATCACAAACAAAATAATTTCTTGTACCTAGTCTCAATATTTTTCCCTGCCATTTCAGTATTTTGTCTGTTATCTCTGAATTGAAGTTACATAAATTTGATACTTGGACATGCTTCTGTAAAGATTATAAATGAAATCTAAATGATCAGTGCTTCTGACAGCAGTCCTCTCCAGTCTTTTACTGAAATATCAAGGTTGTTTTCCCAGATTACTGTAACTAAAATTTAATAGTTAAAAAAAAATCTGTGTTAAAATTGTTTAAACCTACAGAATGGTTTATAAAATGCGCTGCATTGCCATATCTTCCAGCATCAACTGAGAAAGGGGCATCAGCATCATGAAAATCTAGATCAAACAAATATGTACAACCCACAACATCATAATTTTGGCCTCTTCTTTCTGCCTCCTCCTCTGTTATGACCTGAAAGGTAAAGAAATATAGTTGTTAGCTTCAAGCCATATTTTATCATGAAAATTGTGAAAACAAAATTAACATACCGGGTACATCTTTACTGTATATGATATTCTTAGTTGAAGATTTTCTCACATAATCAAATAAAACCTGTTGTTTAATTGAGTTTTCAGTCCTGTCTTGTTTTTATTTACGCTCCACACTAGGCCTTTATTATCAAACCCATTTGATTAAGTCAAAATGGAGTTAATACTTAAAAAAAAAATACAAATTAAAAAAAGAACAACTATTTTCACAAATTAATAACACCTCACCTCCCCAACATATTCTACAACAAAAGATCCTTTTTTTATCTTCTGAAGGCTTTTGACTCCCCATCCGCGTCCATTAGCTGTGCGAAAAATGCAGATCTTAAATTTTCTTCCCTTCTGTACAACTCTGTTGAAGCAATCTGGTCCACATCTACACAGTTTATTGCATTCATAAATAGGCACTCCTCTTGGTACCCTTAACCTGCCAGTGGCTTTGCGGTAGGCCAGTGTTGAGCTACTGACAGTAGGACAACAGGTCTTCCTGTCATTATAACAATCCTGACAATCACAGCCAAGCAGAGGGTCTTGAGAAATTGTCACTCCTGCACCTTCTTTCCGTTCATTTATGTATATGAAGTCAGAGGGGGGACCCTCAAGGTCAACATTATTCTCTACAAACAAATAGGCTTGATCATATCCTTGTGCAATGGCATTCATCTCAATTTCCCAGTCTTTCAAAACTTTCTTCACTTCAGTGCACATATGTTTTTTACTTGATTTCAATTGCCTAGGTCTGCTGGCTTTTTTTGGAGGTACTTTTTTAACATGACTATAATATGTAGCTATGTCACGCAAAGACATATTTTCAATTATCCTTGACTCAGATATTTTCTTTAATACTAAATCACTGTGCTTCTTTTTGACATTCTCATGCTCGCTTTCACTTGATGAAAGCAACTTTCTTTTACATTCTCTGGGTTTACGATTACTTAATTCTTTATGATATGCTTCTAATAAAGTGCCACATCTCAAATGACTGGCAGGCTCCCAGCTGTTGTGTTTATGTCCCCATCCAAGCCACTTAATAAGATAGTAGTCTTGGCCCTGGAACATCAAAATTGTATTGTTATTATTACAAAAGGATATAAGCAATGATTATTTAAAATTTTTTACAATTTGAAAGAATTCAATCAAGACGTTTGTAACAGTATAACTTTGTGTGTGCTGATAGAAGAGGATAGAAACCCTTGTTGGAAAGAAGTAGTGTTATGTTTCTGTGCCATGGAAAATTGTGTGATAATTTAAAGACATTAGAAAGATATATATTTAATTTAATATAGAGGGGAACAAATATATATTTACATTAGAGACCGACCGAAAGGGATTTTCTGATTTCGGCCGAAGCCGAAAATAGGCCGAAAATTTAAAATGACTTTCGGCCGAAACCGAAAAAAGGCAGAAAGTTAAAAGTGAATTTCGGCCGAAACATTAAGATATTTTGAAATTCGTTCCCGCATACATTCTGCATACATCGAAAATGATGTGGGAAAGTATATATATTTACATTCTTTTTATAAAAGATGAGATAACCGTGAATATTAATAAATAAACATCTAATATAGGGGTCTAAACTCGCGGCCCGCGAGCCATTTGTGACCCGCAAGACGATATGTTGCGGCCCGCTACATGACAGAAAAGTTTAGTGTTAATTCGCCGGCCCGTTTCCCCCATTCTCATATCTATAACGTGACTCTCAGCGACGGTTTCAGTCGAATCTCACCGATTAGTCTAATTCTGATTTTAAAAAAAAAAAATGTTTCTATATATTTTTGTATGCCAGGTCTCTGGCAACAGTGAGTAGGTGGATGAAAGTGACGCCTAGTTCTTGAGAACCCTCAATGATTTTATTTTTATTTATAAAGGTTGAGCAGATTGTAACAGTTGTAATCGCTTTTTGTGGATTACTTGATGCGGCCCACTCTCATTCAGACACTACCTCTTGCGCCCCCCCCCCCGCCCCATAATTTGAGTTTGAGATCCCTGATCTAAAGAATACTTTGGATTTTCCCATTTTATATAAAAGTAATTTAAATTGCTTTACAATTTTTTTAAAAATTAGTATGGGAGGAGAAAATTTGGCGAAAATTGGGGAGGGGGGGGGGGGTAAATGCAAAATATTTTTTTTATAAACTCCTGATCTAAAGAATACTTTGGATTTTACCATTTTATATAAAAGTAATTTAAATTGCTTTACAATTTTTTTTAAAAATTAGTATGGGAGGTGAAAATTTGGCGAAAATTGGGGGGGGGGGGAATTAATGCAAAATATTATTTTTATAACCCAGGTCTCTAAAAAATTTGGTTCTAAAAGATCGCTTAATTTTTTTTAAAAGATCGTTTAGTTGGTTGTTATTGATCGGTTAGTTTGTCCTTAAAGATCGGTTAGTTTGTTCATAAAGATCGCTTACATTGTTCTAAAATGTCGCTTAGTTTAAACTTAAAGATCAATTAATTTGGTATTAATGATCGCTTTATTTGTTCTTAAAGATCATTTAGTTTGTTCATAAACATCACTTAGTTTGTTGTAAAGATCGCTTACTTTTTTCATAAAGATCGCTTCATAAAGTTTGTTCTTAAAGATAATTGATTTTGCTCCTTAAGATCGATTAGTTTGTTCTTAAAGGTCTTTTAGTTTGTTCCTAAAGAACATTTAGTTTTGTGTTAAAGATCGCTTAGTTTATTCTTATAAATCATTTTGTTTACTATTAAAGATCATTTGTTTTGTTCTTAAAGATCATTTAGTTCGGTTTAAAAATTGTTTAGTTTGTTCTTTGAGATCGTTAGTTTGTTATTAAAGATCGCTTAGATTGTTCTTAAAGATCGCTTAGTTTGTTTTAAAGATCGTTTAGTTTGTTCTTAAATGTCACTTAGTTTGTTGTTAACTATCGTTTAGTTTGTTCTCAAAGATCGCGTAATTTGCTCTTAAATGTCGCTTAGTTTGTTGTTAAAAATCGCTTTTGCTGAGTATTAAATGACCCGTAAACCTGAGTCACTTTCGGCTTGATGGCCGAAAGTCTAAGTCAATTTCGGCCGAAACCGAAGAAAAACCGAAAGTTAACTTTTCTCCTTCGGCCGAAACCGAAATTAAGCCGAAAGTTAACTTTTTAGTTTCGGCCGAAACTTGGCCGAAAGTGATAAAATGGCCACTTTCGGCGCCGAAACCGAAATTCGGTCGGTCTCTAATTTACATGGATATACTGTGTCATAGATGTAGTTATTATTTATCATGTGAATTTGATATTATTATAATAAAGTGCCAGTGTTAGTTACAACAAGTGACTCGATGATTAATTTTAATAACATATGTCTTGATGTGGCAGTGACGGGTATTCAGTTATCATAGACTTAGATAACCATCACAACTGTATCACCAATCAGGGCTGCCACTCAATTTTTTTTTTAAATTCCCAAGATTTGGTCAAAACATTTCCCAAGATCATGAAAATATATAAGAGTTTTTTTTTTTTTTAAAAAAGGATCTTGGGATTTTTTTTTTTTTTAAAGTGAGTTTTGGCCCTGAATGGGGAAGTGAATTCCCAAGATCTTGGGAAATTTCCCAAGGTGTGGTAGCCCTGTACCCAACAAAATCTAATGTTTATTTTTTTTTTAAATTCCCAAAATTTGGTCAAAAAATTTCACAAGATCATGAAAATATATAAGAGTTTTTTTTTTTTTTAAAAAAGGATCTTGGGATTTTTTTTTTTTTAAAGTGAGTTTTGGCCCTGAATGGGGAAGTGAATTCCCAAGATCTTGGGAAATTTCCCAAGGTGTGGTAGCCCTGTCACCAACAACAGTGAATGTTTACTTTTTTGTAAAATTTCGAAAGAATAGCCTGTTTTAGCATTTCAACAGTCAAAGCGTCACAACTAAATATATACTCTTAAACTTTTGGCAATTCTTTCTGACCATTATGCCCTTTTGAACAAATCTTAATAGTGGGGTAGGGGGCTTATGCTCATAACCAGACAGCACATTGTTAAAAATAAGCCCTGGGTCACCTCATGCTAAGAGCAAATATTTAGGAGGTATTTGCTGATCTGCACAGAAGTAATGCAACTATCCTGTAGGATGGTGCTGTCCAACCTTTTTGACTATGGGGGCCAAAATAAAATTTTCAAAAAACCCAATACTTCTTACCTTATGATGAAGGGTACTGCCAAAACCATGGCCCCAATTTTTGAGGAAATTCATCCTGAATTTATTTGGCCACCCATTCTTATGCATGTTTATAAATCACACAATTCCTCCCTGACTGAATTGCACTAACAATGAGCAAAAACAGCTTGTATCCTGCTTTCTGCTCATTGATCATCTCTAGGGGTGTGCCGGAATCCAGTTCCGCCGGATTTTGCACTATCCGGTGAAATCCGGTTCCGCCTGATTTACATGTATCCGGAACAACCGGATTCCGGAATATACCGGATTTCGGAATTTGCCAGATTTTGTGACTCACCGGATCATAATCTGAAATAAAAGTAATTCTCTTTCCCGAATTCCACACGATCACGATACATTAATCGATTGTTTCGAGCGTTGAGCTTGTTTAATGTTTAATATTCCGTACATACCAGAGGCTAGAGTCAGCACCGCTAATAGTGGCCAATAGTGTAGGGACTTTGATAAGAAAATTTAAACTTTTTGTAAAAATAAACCAATGGCATAGTTGAAAAGATGTAATTTTTTAAAGAATTATAACACCAAAATCATATTTTTAGCTGTTGTAGTTTTAAAGTTATGAATTTTTAAAGTACGACTTGGTTTGTCATTTTTTAACATGGACTGCATCTCCACATTCTGTGATCTCATTCCACCAATCCCGTCATGCGCAATGACTATATAGTTTATATAAGGCAACGCATTCCCTGCCTTATCACTAAAATACTGTTTAGACTTAGTTTAAACTTTCAACTTTGGCACATGAATAATTAATTAAAGCTTTCCCTGACCAATGGTTTAATAGTTTTTGCACACGGCAAACTCTTATGAATGAAACTCTGAGGTAGTACTACGATACAGTTATGCAAGTGGCTGTGAATGGTTGCCAATGACAACGTGTTGCACACGGTAAATTCTGATCATTTATAATATGGATTCTACCGGGTTGTTAAAGCTCAAATTAAAACATTCCAGTTTAAATGTCTTTAAATGCATTCTGAAACACAAGTTATCAATTATTTTGATGTAAATAGTGATAATAAATTAATATTTCCTAAGTATCGTCAACTTCCGCCATTAAAAAGGGGGGCGTGGCCAACCCCATGGCGAAATTAGGTTGAGCGAGCTGCATGACCTGCTGCGAACGCGTAGAAACATGGCGTCTCTCGTAAGACACTTATCCAAATGGAACGGAACTCAAATATATATCGAAAGTACTAATTTAATAATAAATAGACACACACATCGGAAAATTAAAAACTCGGATTTTTTGGCGCCGATTGCGAATTCCCATACACAAAAAGTAGTAGTCCACCTTGACTTACCGAAGTATCTACCAATAGTACCAAAATCCGGAATCCGGGAGAAACCGGAATCCGGATTATTCCGGAATCAAATCCGGCGGATTTCGCATAAGAAAATCCGGATCCGGTTGGAAAAAACGGATCCGGCACACCCCTAATCATCTCATATTACAATCTCAGAATACCAGGTATTCATCAACATCACATGATAGACTCCCTTTCCCATACCTTGCAAGACTACCTGTTAATAGAACTTGGTACCATAAATAGTATCCCAGCTCGCATATAGATTACTCATACCCAAAGACTTTCTTGTCATATTATTATCATCCCACAAAGCGCAGTACGGTAGTTAACTTGTGGTGTTCACCTATCTATTTCATGTAACTTGGTGCCGTTAGTGGGGGCATGGACATTTTTACAAAGATCATATAGCTACCGGTACACATCAAGTTACTTCTGGTTTCCTTTTTTATCTTTCCAAAGACCGTTAGTAATTATACCTGATACACCCATGATGCCTCCCTTGTACAAGCAACAGAAATGAGAGGATGATACTGGGTATACGATTACATGTAAACCCATTTTCCCAAATGGTTGCCTTGCTAATGTGCTTCACATAAATTACTGATACCCGCCAAGCCACCCAACACCTTAGCTTTTCTGACCCCCCTCCATTTCCATATTACAACTTCTGTGCTCTCATACAGTTTCCCTACAATACTAAATGAATGTGGTTTGAAAATATTTTCACACTAAATTTTTTTTTTTTTCACATACAAATTTCTCAAGCTGTAGGGACCATTTAAAATCAGCCTGCTGGACCAAATTTGGACAGCGGTGCTGTAGGATTTTAAAAACACAAATACCACACCTTTGCGATGAACAAAAAATGGATGTGGAACAAACAATGGGTGTGGAACAAAGAAGGGTGGGTGTCTGGAACAATGTAAAAAGCTGTAATTTATACAAAATTGAAAAATGTCACAAATGACACACTCAATTGGGGAAAAACAAACAAATTTATGAATACTTATAATCACCCATTTAAAATATGTACTATTTTATTTTACACAATACTGGTAAATACGACTACTTACATCCTCTTTATAATGGTCCAGTACAGTTTCAACTTCAAATTCTTCTTCGCATGTTACTAGGCCATCAGCAACAACTGATAAGAAATATTTTAAAAAATTAAGGAGCGAGATTATAAAAATTTAAATATTCATTTTGAAACTACAGTTATTCTTTAAAGAGAGAATAATTTCATCATCTAAGGTCATACATTTTAATTGGGGTTTCTACCTCAAAACATTGAAATGGGTAAATGCAATAATTACCACAGATTAATGAGACAGCATTATTCACATTCTAAGAAAAACCAGCATGAGATGATTCCAAGCATAAATCTTGCAACTTAACTTTGCAAATTAATTTTCAACTTTAAAATGGCCTGCTGCAACCTTTCCATCATTTCTCTTAGAAGTAAAATAATTACTTGGCCATATGAATGAGTGAACAGTATATTAAGATTTACCAAATCAAATTCACGATCCATGAACTGCATAAAGAATAATTAAGCTCATAAAAATATCCCTTAGTTTCATTTGTGCTCAAGATATCAAGGTTCAGCGAGATAAAAGAATCGACATAACCGAGGAGAAAATGCTAACACAAAGAGAGAATTTGGCGGTTCCACTTCAAAAATGTCGACATAACAGGGTTAGCGAGTTAACCGAGGTCGGTATAAGCGGGTTCAACTGTAGTTTCAATTTTCATGCGTTCTTTTAAATTAGTGACAATTATCCTCATTTTGACTGAATGTGCTAATAGCACCTTCACTGTTATTATCATATTGCAACACTTTTGCTTAAGATTGCTCAGTGTGACTGCTTCTAAATGTATAATTTAATGTGATAATGTATATACTTACATTTACTCAAAAGTTTGTGACACTGTACAGGACCTAAAGACTCCAAAAAGTCATAGAAAATGGCTTTTTTGGTTTCCAATGAAATTTTTAGGTTTAAAGTTTCACATATTATTTGAAAGTCTGTTAATCCCATTAAGCATGGAACAAAGCACTTCTAGGGAAGAAAAGAATATCATTATTAATTTAAAATTGTGCGCCAAAAGTATCAGTATGCTGGGTAGTTATGCTGGGAGATAATTTTTTTTTTAAACTGCAAGAATTTACACCTGTCAAGTATAAAGTTCATTCACTAAATTTCTTTTTGAACAATAATCACAAGATGGCTTGAATTTAGTTATATAGAAAACAGGTCAAAACCTCTAAATTGTAGGACTTTAGCCTACTGAATTTTATGTAGGGGAAGATGAAAAAAAGAGTGATGCACATAAAATCACCTCTCCTGTTTAGAGGTAGTGACCGCCCAGATGTACCAAGTGCTGTCTCATCAATAACAATCTTGACACTTATGAAATATGGCATCTCCAACCCTATTTTGTATCAATGGGTGCCTTCACGAAATTACTCGTGCTGTACTGACGCTCTCTGTTCTTCACAGAGACCCCCTAAAGGTGAGATAGAATGATCAGGGGTATAACTGGACCTATGGTGGGAGGAGACTCCCCCACCACCACCAAAATGTAAAACATTTCATGTTACACTAACTCAGCCCTTACTCTCCCTTGGACAGTTTTCTTTCCCAGTCTTTACCCTTCTTTCAATGGGCACTTCTCAGAACGGTGGTCCCAAATTAAAAATAGAATACTTTTCATTAGAAAGTGTCCGTCTACCAGCCTAACAAATTTTATTTATTTCAGAAGATGATGATGAGTCTGAAGAAGATCGTGATCATAAAAAAAATAAATACATTTAAGTCACCAATTATCGGTGGCTATTAGCAGCACACTTTCTAACGAAAAGTATTCTACTTTTAATGTGGGACGCCGTTCTGAGGAGTGCCTTGCAATGCTATCCCTGTGGTTGACCCAGAGGTTGTCGCAGGATGGAACATACTTCTGGTGGTTATAATGATAACCATTTTTGTTTGACAAATTTAGAATTTGTATGGCAGGGACATCAGCCATAGACCTATTCTAAACTGCAGTCTTTGAAGGTATCACTGTTGCCTAGAAAATACATATTAAAATACCCGGTATCTGAAGTCTCTACCAGACCTGTTTACCCTCAAACCCCTAAAATCGTACAATGCAATATCTCAATAGTAAATAAATAAAACTACAGTACTGCAATAAAGTTTAATGATGTAAGCCCCCCCCCCTCCCTTTACCGTTGCACGCAGAAGTTTTTACGACCCCCCCCCCTCTTTTCCCTCAATTACAATAATAACAAATTAGCAAAGTCCATTACATATTATGTTACAGTAAACAAAATGTGGCACGGGTTTTCACCACTGGTGATTCGTCCAGCCCAGTGGTTCACATAATGTATGCTACATCGGACTACATCGCCCTGGGTGTTCGCTGCCCTTGGTCAGGGCCATGAGAATATAACGAAGAGCAACCGCGTGAAAATCGTCTATAGAAAGGAACTTAAACAGTCAATTCAACTATAAAAAAACATTTACACATAGATTAAAGGCGCAATAAATTGTCCTTTTAAATTGGAGGGGGGGGGGTTGAAAATTTTCTAAATGGGCTGCTGCGGCTTCCTCACAGGGGCGTTGCGAAATATTTAAAAAATGTCATAATTTTATTTTTACTTTTAATCCAATGTGACATCTTTCGGTCCAGTTACCCAGTTGAGTATCTACTGTTTGTAGCTACAGATGGCGCTCAGTGACCTACATACGTGTTATATTTATTTTTATCCCACCCTTTGTTTTATTTTGGTATTCGCTATGTCCAAGTGCACGTGTTAGAATATCACACAAGGCGCCTGGTGAAAACCTAATATTGCAACACGCGCCGGAAAATAAATATTTTAGAACCACTGGCGTAGCCCAACGAAATATACGTCATGCGCGCGTTAAACATTCGGTAGACTTAACACCGTACTGTAATTCTTCCACTATTGAGTATAGCTAGCCAGTTGATTTGTGAAAATACCCCTTGACAACATCACGACTCTAATTCCTACTACACATTGGCTGGTATTTTACACCATTCGAGATAGAAATGTTATTTTTAGACTTTCAGAGTTTCGGGATCAATGTTGCAGAATTTTTTAAATAACGCACATACTTTCTGCCGAGGACACCCCCCCCCCCCACACACACACACCCGAACTGTCATTACGAAAATCTGGCGGTGTTGAGTATATAAATTGAAATACTTAGACTGGCTCCATGCACACAATCTCTTAAATCAACATCACCCCTTTTATCTCTGATTGATTGCTAATGAAAAGTCCGACTGTGCTGTTTGCGTCTGATAGACCCTTATTTGAAGAACGCAACTCAGTAAATTTTGTCTGATATTCAAGATAGGATATCAGCGAATAAACTTTCTTTTGCTGAATCTGATGTTAAGTTGAAGTTCCTTCTTCATCATCGGTTTCGCGTGCCTTTCATTTTGTCGATGCCATATCGTAATGTATTGTGCATGCTCAACTACGGTAACGAAAACAAAAAGGCTCGCCGGTAACATTAAAATACCGCAATGTGCACATCCGTCTATGGCGCCCACTTCGTACGCCAGGGCTGTTGGGACAATGGGACATCCATATATAACATACTCGATAGGCAAAATGAAATATAAAACATATTCATAACCCCCCTCCCCACCTTGTCAACGTAAAACTATCCTACGTACTACGTACACGCTTAGGATGCGCATGGCAGCTTTGAGGGGAAAGTGGTGGGGGGGGCAGAATGCACCTACATTTGTGCATGAATTCTTCAATGATTATCCTGACAGTCTCTTATGGAGCCAAATGTCACATGAAAATCTGTGAAGGCCATGAATTCTAATTAGGCCCATTATTATTATTATTATTAAGGCTATAAAACATCACCAGTGTTTCGCAGTTATCATTTACTAATGCTTTGTGTTTTCATCAAGAAATCACTGTAGCAGTAATATGGTGACAACACGTCTTTCCTTGCTGTGACGCCTGATTTGTTCCGTTAACACGCTTTAGTTCAGTGGTGGGCCAACTCTTGAGTCAAAAGAGCCACACAAAAAAACCACCAGCAGGGCAATTAAAATTTGTTCGAGAGCCCAAATCTTTTTCAAGAACCATGTTTTTGGGAGTCAAAACCGTTTGTGGCCGGCTGACCGAGCAGCACTCAGATCGCTAAAGAGCCGCATTCGGCTCGCGAGTCGCGCTTTGCCGACCACTGTTATAGTCTAACTACTGCAATCTGTATAAAAAAATGTTTTTGAAAAAAAAAAGGGGGGGGGGGGGGTGAGNAGGGGTGGCGCACTTGGCTTAACCCGGGAGAGAGGCATTCCCCCCCCCCCCACCGAGATATAGCTGAAAGAAACCCTGGTAGTGATACCAAACTGCTGTATTAAAATCGTTGAAGGCATAGAGCTGATTTGCGAGTTATAAAAGAATTTTGTAAATGTCGCTGACTGGATCTTATAAAATACCGGTATGTCAAAATCCAACGCTCCACTGCAGAACAGTTGGATCATCTATTTTATTGTAAAAACCATCTCTAGTTTTACAATCGCCGCGGTTCTGAGGAACAAAATAATTATATAACAAAACTACGTCACACGCTTGGTAGCAGTCAAAGGCGATGGTGAGTGAAGTTGTCGCTAGGGCGACTAGTCAAGTCTAAATTATATTACCTTTGACGCAGCTAGCTAGTTCCCTGTGACTGTGACCACACAAAGCAGCAATACGACAATCACCGTCAATTCCATCAATACGATACGTCGCGGTTATTTATTTATATCCTTTGACACTCCCACCAATCCCCTACCCATGCGTGTCTCGTATGCCACAATTTCCGTGATTAACAACCCCACCTCCCCACTCCCCAAGAGTGCTTCCCAAATATAATAAGAATGGTCCCTACTTTAAAAACAAAAATACAACCAATCGTTTTTCTCGTTCATATTCACTGCCAGATCTTCATAAGAGAGGGCTAAAACGTCCAAACCCGAAAATGTATTAATTTTTTTTAAATCGGGGAAAATTTTTTTCCACCGGGTCTCTGAAAATCGTAGTTTTGGAGGGTCTTGGCATACAATCGTAAAAGACATCTAAAAATCGTACATTGTACGCCAAAATCGTAAGAGTAAACAGGTCTGCTCTACTTAAGTTTACTTAACTGTCTGGAGTATTATGTCTAGATTGTCTACGTCAGAGGCGTAGTTAAAGGGGGGTTTGGCTACTCACTCAATTTCGGAAAAGAGATCTAGTAATTTCTGATAATTTTACAACCAGAAAAATAATTCTTAATAAGACTTCTTAGTGCAATACATGTATTACATTATATATTATTTACCAGATATATAAAATACAGTCACATAATATACAATAACAATAATGGGTTGATAATCAGTATTCTCAGAGCTGGATGACTAGTGTAAGTAATGGTTGAAACATACCACTGAGTACTGTACAGTGTTATAAACTATTAATTTTTCACTTAATAATATCAAGCCCAAGCAAATGTTAAAAAATTCGGACGGACCTAGGTCGGGATTAAATAGCAGTTATGCATACCCGGGTCTATAAGACTAAAATACTATTCGAATGTCATTTGTGATACCGGTAGTTTATTTAGTTAAACTGAAGAAGTGAGATAACAAACATATAGTCCATTCACTTATCTTTAATTTGATACCAAATTTTATCTTACGAACCCTACAACTACAATAATATTTTTTTAATAAACCCAACCTCTCACTCTTGTTAGGGACTTCGATGAAGCAAGGGAGACTACTAAAAGATTTGTATGGGCATGGGAAATAGGAGTCGGCGCGCGAAAATCAGAGTTTTAAATTTTTTTATAGTGGAACTATTTCATTCATAAAATAATTACTACATCTCAGAATTGTGTTCCTCTTCCAGCCTTTCGCTTTAGAGGACATCTTGGCCTACATTTTAATCAATTTCTTTTTCATTTACAATCAGTCAGCTTTGAGAAAATCCTTGGTGAGTGAATGTAAGGCAACTTCAACCATTAAAATTAAGTTGAAGTAAAAGACATGTCACTACCAAATTTTGTATGCATCTGGAGCATGTTTTGATCTACATGTATGCCAATTTTCACAGCGACATGTGTTTTACGAGAGACGCCATGTTTCTACGGATTCGCAGCAGGTCATGCAGTTCGCTCAGCCTAATTTCGACATGGCGTGGGCCACGCCCCCTTTTTAATGGCAGAAGTTGACGATACTTAGGAAATATTAAATTATTACAACTATTTACATCAAAATATTTGATAACTTGTGTTTCAGAATGCATTTTGAAGACATTTAAACTGGAATGTATTAGTTTGAGCTTGAAAAACCAGGTAGTGTCCATATTATAAATGATCAGAACTTACGGTGTGCAACACATTGTCATTGGCAACCATTCACAGCCACTTACATAATGGCTGTATTGTAGTACTACCTCAGAGTTTCATTCATTAGAGTTTGCCGTGTACAAAAACTATTATACCATTGGTCAGGGAAAGGTTTAATTAATTATTCATGTGCCAAAGTTGAAAGTTTAAACTAAGTGGACTCTTAACAGTATTCTAGTGATACGGCGATGCATTGCCTTATATAAAGTATATAGTCATTGCCCATGACGGGATCAGCGGAATGAGGTCACAAGATATGGAGGTTTCGTCCTTAGTAAAAAAATTCCAAAGGAACTCACACTTTAAAAATTCGTAGCTCAAAAAAGAACTTAAGCTAAAAAGTTGATTCTGCTTTCATTTTTTTTTTAAATTTTCTCAAACTAACTGTGTTATTAAAAAATGATTTCAATTTTTTAAAATTTTGTATTTAAGTATCATCCACTCTTGTACCTTGGTCGGAATAGCCACAGCCTTTTTTTTAATTGATTATAATTGGATTGTAATTTATAAATGAAAATGTTTTAAAATAAAAACGCATAAAAATTGTCATTGAGAATATAGGAATTTGAAGAATTATTATTTTTTAATTTTCAATAAAATATAACGTTCAAATAATGTCAAGATTGTTCTGCGGATCACCAAAATTATATCGTGGTTGGCGAAACACACAATACGTAACACGGCACGGGAAACCAAAATTGCGGCTAAATAATCATGAGCAATCCCTCTGACATTCTCGGCTATTCAAAAAATAATTAGAGAAGCCGCCTCATGATAATTGTCAATTAAGGTATACCGTCAATTAATATACCCTTTCATGCGTCGAATCCATTTCGATCGAAAGAAAAACTTGTCATAAGTCTTTACTCAATCAATACAAATTTTCTCTAATGTTATTTGTCAGTACCGCCAATTCTCAGTGGCCAGGTTTTCTAATAGAGTCCGACCGGAGATGTCCCGGTAGCTATATAATTTTTCGCTTCTCTTGCTTTAAAAAATATTTTATTCATTTCATATAATTAACCAATACAAATTCTTTTTTTTTTTTAAATTCAATTAGAATTAAAATAACATTTTAAGAGTGTATGATATTTTTTATAAGTTTGTAAAGAACGATAAGTAAAGCTGTTAATTCCTATATTAGTCGACATGTTTAAATTAATTTTGCAACAAAGAAAAAACAATAAGTCTGAATTTTAAAATATTTTTTTTTTATGTTTCTATTTGCTAAAGATGAGACACGCCCAGAGGGTTGGAGTCACCTTGTGCGGTAAACTCAGGGCGTCACCCCCTCGAGGCTCACACATCAGCCTGTCTTATCTCTCACCCCAAGACCTGTATAGAGTAATTATTAAACACATGTTGCATAACCGCTTAATGTGTTGTTTGTAAATTAAGTCCTAAAGCAACAAAAGACAAAGAAGAAAACATAGAATTTGATGTAGCATTGTAAGGATGCATCAAAATTACTTTTAATGAAACATTTCATTTTTCATTTTAAACTTTAATTTCATGATCCTCAGAAATGCAAACATGTCAATCACTTCATCAATATCAACATTCTTCACATCATCACTTTAAATTCACAAAACCACAGACTAGAAAGCCATAACTATTCCATAATAAATCTCACAAATTTCTTTATAATTTAAAGAAGTCCCAGCTATGAAAAGCTCCTCTCAGATGCAGCCATAGACACACCATTCGTGATAGATAATTGTAGACTTAATGAGAGGATTGGGAGAGACTCCCAACCATTCTCTGGCGGCATCATGCTCTGGTGACATCGTGCTCTTGTAGCTCCCTTTTCTGATGGCACCCTGCACTGCATGGTTACACCCTGTTCTTGTTTCAACCTGCTATTGTGCAAACCTAATATAGTGGCACCCTGTTTTTGTAGCACCATGTTCTGCGTGCTCCTGCTCTGGTGGCACCCTAATCTTGTGACACCATGTTCTGGTGTCACCCTGTTCTGGTGACACCCTGTTCTGTTTTTAAACTACTCTGATGGCACCCTACTCTTGTGACACTGCGTTCTGGTGTCACACTGTTCTGTTTTTAACCTAGTCTGATGGCACCCTACTCTGTCTGGTGAAATCCTGTTCCGGTGGCAACCTGCTATGGTGGCACCCTGCTCTAGTGGTATCTTACTCTGTCTCACCTTGTTCTGATGGCACCCTATTCTGGCGGAACCCTGCTTTTGTATTTAACTAAGATCTATTATGAAACCGACTACGATGAAATTTGTCAAATTTGCATTTTCCATTTAGTGTCACCCCCTGTTAGGATGTCACCCGGTGCGGTCTTCACCCCCGCATTCCTTAGTGACGCCATTGAACACACCCACAATTAGCACACGAAAGACAGCTAATTCATGTTTTCACCTCACTTTAAACCTGGAGTCTAAAAGGCAAACCCATTACCAACTTAAGCATTCTTCAGAAGTATCTTATTAAAACTTGAGACATCCGTCAATTTGCAAGTCACGGGTTCAGGGCAGGGGCGAAGACTGAAAGTGGCACCCCCCTTTCCATTTCATCAATAAATGATAAGTGGATCTTTTAATAAAAAGGTTAGTGGCACTTTGATTGAGGGTGGGGGCAGAAATTGAGGAAGCATAAGGCTCCCGATTAATAGTGTGGGAATGTGCAAACTGATGTGTGGTAATTAATTTAGAATTAAGCTGAACCCATTTGAACTTGCCGCATGTACTTTGTGGGGCGGGGGGGGGACTTAATTGTGAATCACATAGCTTAGAACTATGCTGACAGCCTACAAGCCAGTTGAAATAACATGGCTCCTCATGTTCCTAAAATGCATTTCTTACATCCTCGTCTGAGCTTTTCATTACCGAACTTGGTTGATGAAAGCAATGAGCATGGAGATAAACTTCAACAAGACGACTTTATTTTGGAAACAATGTATAAAAGCCAATGCAATTTATACATGAGGAGTGAATACTGCTGGTTTCTTAAAAGCATGCAACAGCGGCCACTCACAAGCGCAAGAGCCTTACCGCACTTTTGAACTCTTACAGAATTAAGCTGGAGACGAAATTAGGCGTTTGTAAGCTTTCTTCCTGTGAGTCTCATAGGCCTACATATATTTATATTTGATTTAAAAAAGTTGTCTTAAAATTATTTTCTTTTAAATTTTATTGTTTTATTTAAAAGATTTTATTGTTTTGTTTCGGCCGGTTTTTATTAAGAATTTCTTTTTCTTTTTTTTTAAAAATTTATGTAATAAAAACTTTCTTATTGGAAATTTGTTAAATTTTAATTTCAAGTAAGGATAAATAACAATTTTCAATGTTATGACAATGACTCATTATACTCATAGTTATATTGGCAAATACTAGCTCTGTGATTTGCTCTCATCATTAAAAAAAAAAAGGAAACAAAAAGATGTTCACATGAAGCTGCATAACTTAAAATCCTCACTTGCTACACAAAAACGTAATTAGAATTTGAATCAGCACACTTGATTTAGTATAATCCAGAAGATAGATGCCCTGTAGCAGATGAAAATTGTTATTTTTTGTTGGCCAGTGTAATTATTTCTAAAATAACGTATAATTATTTTGGCTGTTTTAAACGTGATTTGCCAGGCCGGCTATCGCTTCATTTGTCACAAATATTATTAAAAAAAATGCTACTTTCAATTTCAAACTCAAAACACAACTTCCCGATTCTGCAAGCACAAATGACAGATGCCTACTAAACGACATACTAATTTATTACGTTGAAGATTGTTTTCATATTAGAAAATGACAAGCAAAGTAAGAATATATACTATAAAGTACTAGTAGTTTGTTGTTGTAACTATAGTAATACTATAGTATAGTTTATATTATATTTAAAATTCTGTTACTGTTACTTTACTTAAAAGTTACTTTACTGTTAGTGTTATATAGTATAATATATATAGTATAGTTATAGTTATAGTCATAGTATTAGTCATTAGTATAGTATAGACCAGGGGTCGGGAACCTATGGCTATGGGCACTATGGCTTGCGAGCCAGATGTGGCTCTATTGATGGCTGCATCTGGCTCGCAGACAAATGTTCGTTAATAAAAATAAAAAATTTAACTTTAGACTCCTTTGACTTTGAGCTACATATATTAAATTGCATATCATCAACATTTCATTCTACAAATGAGCTAAAGTCTACTTGAGCTCAGCATCAGAAGTGGATTTTTTAGTTTTCAACATAAATGTATGCTCTCACAGAATTACTTTTCAAAATATGTTATGTGGTGTCCATGGCTCTCTCAGACAAAAAGGTACCTGACCCCTGATATAGACTATAGATTATGTATAATACTTACTTTACTTTAGTCGTAATATGATAGTTAAAATAATGTTATTATTGTTATTAAGTTAAGTTAATGTTATTATTATTATCATTACCGTCTTTAAATAATAGTAGTAATGAACTTTTAAAATTTAAAGAAGTAAGAATGCTAAGAAAGAAGTACTAGAACTTAACTAGAACTACTAAGTAAGTAGTAGAATCCCCTCCTTATTATTAATATTATGAATTAAATAATTACCCAATTATTAAGTTAATTATTATCACTGTCAGTGTCAGTATTATTATTTATTACTTTCATTGTTTGAAAAAAAAATAGTGCAGTACCGGTACCCGGTATCAATATCCTACTATACTGTCTATACTACTATGTGAGGCTATTCAATATAGTATAAAGTCATAATAAAGTATAATAATAATGTAGTGTTTTATACTATTTAACTATTCTTAATAATTTCCTAATCCTAGTTAGACTATTTTAGTATTCCAAATCTATCCAATCTATCTATGAGTATTACTAGTAATTGACTTATAATAATAATAATAATAAAGTTTATTTGAAAAAAAACGCTTCATCCCCAAAAGCTCGAAGCGCAGTACCTTGCTTACCTTATTTCCATTTCTCCGCAAATGCCAGCACAATGAATAGTTTGAGTGCCATCGTGTGGAACATTTCTTGTTAACCTAAGCATTACTGCTGCACCTACATGAAACTGTATGAGATAATCTGCGCATGTAAATGAAATCTTCCCAAAGAAAATTGTTCATAGGGATCTCTTTGATGAGCTAACTTATGTGAAACAACTTTTGTCACCTGCTAAGCTGGACGAATGGATCTCGCAAAAGATATCTGATAAAAAATTGTCGTTTGGAAACCACTCGAACTGGCCGCATTTTTTGTGTGTTGAGGAGCAAATTGTAATTTCTTAGGCTCAATAACACATCATCAGTGCTGTTCTGACCATTTGAATTTATAAGAACTTTATTGCCATTAAAATTAAGAAATATTTTGCAACAAAATATCTAGGCCTTTTATGATTTTTATTTTTTAAACTGGTATATCAAAGAAACAGAATGTTGATGCCTATTGATTTTGACTACCCCCTCTCCCTTGTCAACAAATTGTCCAACTTTTCCACCACCCCTCCCCATTTGGTTGCTGTAATTTATGGAAGGCCCATACAGTTTTTAATATTTCCGTAAAAAAAAAAAAGCAATTACTTTAACAAAAATGGGAAGAAATCAACTAGACACCTTGTAAGAAATTCATTAATGAGAAGTCAGTTGCTATTTTTGTTAACTAGAAACTTATAGTTTGGAGAAAACGAAGAAATCTTAATACTTTATTCTCTAATGCAAGTTTTTAACGGTTGCATTTAATTTATCCCTTACCTATCTGGCTATTTCTTGAGACCTATTGCTTTCACATTCTCAAGCGTACATGGATGTGGTCCATGAGGCTAATGACTTCAAAGTCTGCGATCATAGTGTATTATTGTTTTCCAGTTTTTTAAAATAAATAAACTTGATTTTTATATGAAAATAAAGTTGGTTATTCAGTAAATTTAGATTTTTGTTTGCATGTGGCCCATTATAGACCTTAAAAATATGTTAATAGATGTGCGTTGCCATGTGACTCGGGGAGAAAAGTTTGCCCACTGTGGGGTATTATATATAAACTTACTATTTGGGCTCGAGTTTATTTTCTGAACTACAGACCTACTGATTACCTCCAACTACTAGTCTAAAAATCTGCTTCCTATTTGCAAATTTATTTGAAGCAGAGACAGAGTTCTGCTTCAAGTCAAAGGAACATGAATTCCAGTCAGATGTCTTCATTATCTCAGAGTCAAAGTCAGTCTACTCAGTCTCGTACTGCCAAAAATATAGATCCTGTGGAAATGGAAAAGAAAGTAAGAATTTTATTTTTAAATGTGAAAGATGCCAAATAAGGGTATGTTATAAAAATAATCCTTTTTGGGTTAGACTCAGAAGATTTCCTTACCTTAGTTATGTCATGACTTTACTTAAACTATAGTTTATGTCTTCAACTTGAAATGGCAGTATACCCAGCAACCTTTGTCGCCAGTTTTTTTAAAGACAAGCCTGTGTGATAAACTGGTGTCTCATTCAGTGAATTTAAAGGCATTTGATTAAATATAGATTTAGTTTTAGATTTTTCCCTTATACATTAGTTGAGTAAACCACTGTATATATATATGTGTGACTTGTATTTTTTACATTGTCTGTATATATAAATATAAAAGTAGTTATGGGACTAGTATATCATTAGTAAACTCATGGCCTAGCATATATCTTTATTCAGCCCCTGGACTTGTGCATTACACAGAGCTAAATACATGACAATTTTTATACTTCCAGGTGAATGAGCTTGTTCAATATATGTTGGTTATGGACCAAAAAAAAATTCCAATTAAAAAAAGAGGTAATTTAAAAATAACTCATTGTTTTGTACTACATTTTAGATAATAAACAAATGATTTTTAATGAAATCTACAAGTGATAGTTTTTAATGAGATTTACAAGTAATAGTATTTAATGAGATATAGAAGTGGTAGTTTTTAATGAGATCTACCAGTGATACTTTTAATGATATCTTGTGCAATATTGTGTAGCTTTTTTTTATTTAGTTTTGGTCGTGGAAGACATTTAAGATTTGATGGATCCAACTGAATGTTACAGTACCATGGATTATTCTTAACTAGTCAATTTAATTTTGTAATTTTTAATATTTATTTTTTTGTACCTATCCTAAACAATAAGTCTCAAGCCTGTCATCTTGCTATGTCATTAAAAAAGCTTTCAAATTCTAATTGTTAGTCTATTGGGATCTCACATTAATTTTGTCTGCTCTTCTATGTTAAAAATGTTTTTTTTGTTGTGTCTGTGTAATTTCAAGAGTTTATGGGGTAGATAATATTTTGTTTGTATTAGTATATGAAACAATTTATGAAAAAGCCACAATTTTTTAAAGAAAATTTATTATGGGTGCATTTGTCTCTAATAATTTATTGAAACAGAAGAAAGTTATTGGTAATTTTAATTTTCCATACAATTCAAATTAATGATTTTAATTAAATTAAACAATTGAAGACCCTATTGCTAAAAGTACTTTACCTTCACCAGACCTGTGATTTCCCTGCTTGAGAATACTGGTACTCCATGGGTGAAATCTACTAGTATAGATTTATATAGAGAAAAAAATGGAGAATGTATGCACAAATGCGTAAAAAATATACAGAAACACTACTAAACATACATCATACTGACAGACTGCATAACATTGACATGATTTGAATGAGATCTACAAATGATAGTTTTTAATGAGATCTACAAGTGGTAGTTTTTAATGAGATCTACAAATGATAGTTTTTAACGATATCTAGTGCAATATTACCGGACCTGTGATTTCCCTGCTTAAGAATATCGATACTCTACTAGTATAGATTTATAGAGATTAAAAAAATGGAGATTGTATGCACAAATGCATACAAAATATACATAAACACTACTAAACATACATCATACTGATAGACATGCATAACATTGACATGATTTTACGTTTTAATTAAAATTTAATTTAATTTTGTTATTTCAAATTGTTCGCAAATGGTGAGGGCATGCTCTTAACACATTGGCAGTTGACATTTTACACGAACACCTATTGTTTTTCTGTCATTCTTGGAAGGGCAATGTCCTCATTTCTTCTGTTTGGTCAATTGATTTGTATGTGTTTTTTTTTGTGACCATAGATGCACATATTTCAGGATTACCTGTAAGGTGTTGGAGAGACTGTTCCATCACATTTGTCAAGAAATGACTTACATTTGGCAGCTGCATCCTCTTCTTGGTGTTTGCTGTCATCAGCTACCTTGCACTCTCCATGATAAAACACTGTCCATTGTCAGCGTGGGCCAGTTTGCTTGTCTGGTTGTGTTTTGACCACAAAATCCTTGAGGCAAGAGCACCCAAATCTAAAATATTGTAAAACATTACCATTGGACACCACTTTGTTTTAGATTTGCTTGTAAAGGAGGGTGGCCATTTTGTCCATGTAGTCAACGTCACCTTTGTCATTATGCATGGTGCTCAACAGTTTCAAATTTTTGTTCAATTTTGACTGATACGATACTATGGTGGCCACTTTTGAAAATCCAAAAATTTAACTTTTAATCATTTAACTTTTGATATTTGGGCTGCTGGAACTGTTGAGGTAGAAATATTTTATTTCGTCTTACTGTCCCACCAATGATGAGGCGTTACTTTGTGAGATCGTTAGCTAGCTTCAACTCTGTGAAGAAGTTGTCAGTTGTGATATTGCGGCGACTGTCTTTGAATGGCTCAACACGTTCCATAACTGTTTTTGCTCTGAGGTATTTTGTCTTGCTGTCGTTTCCTGGTCGAGGTGCCTTTTTTCTAAAGTACGGCTTCCCTTTCAACGGATAAGATGTTTCTGCATCACATGTCCAGAAAATTTTGATATTATACTTATCTGGTTTGTTGGGTACCTGTAGGTATTGTATGAAAGAGCACCATCCGCAAAATGAGAGGAGTAGCTTGTGAAATGTGATGTTACTGCTGGGAACATATTGTCAACTGTGATGTTACTGCTGGGAACATAATGTCATCTGTGATTTTACTGCTGGGAACATAATGTCAACTGTGATGTTACTGCTGGGAACATAGTGTCAACTGGGATGTTACTGCTGTTAACATAGTGTCAACTATGATGTTACTGCAGGGAACATAGTGTAAACTATGATGTTACTGCAAGGAACATAGTGTTGGCTGAGATTTTTTTTAAAAATATCCACCTTTTCTCTAATTAGGGTTAATTTTTCCTTGGCTTTTCTTTGTGTCCTTGTTTTCTTGTGTTGGAATCGCAAGTGGTTTAGGAGTGTCACAAATCTTTTCCTTGACATTGCTACTCAAAGCCAGGCATTGCCTCCATTTGTATCAAACAGGAGGGTGGTATTTGTGAAGTTTTGATCAATAGCACCAGCATAAAGGTGGCATCCAAGGTTAAGCCTCTGTTTCATCTGAATTTGTATCAGTCCACTCTTCTTTATTCATTTTTATTCCTTCTGTGTTTGTACAAATCACTATAATGTCAAACATTTTGGGTGTTATGTATTGCCAAAAATCGGTAATCAGTTCCTCGAGGTAGAAGATTTTCTTTTTGCCTAATTTCAAGATATTATTCAGTGGCAAGGACAGTGAGCGAGTTCCAATGTTTGAAGTAGACTCAAATCAATCAGGATGATGCCCCTTGACTTATGAGTTGTGTTTTAGTTTCATGCAGTCATATATGGTGAAGATGAAAGGTTCATATAATTTGTATAATTATAATTGTAAAGCTCTTATTTTTTTCTTCTTCGTTTGTCTCAGGGTACTGCCCACCCACAGGGTACTTACAAGTATCGATTTTATCGGCAAAAAGCCAATAATCTTAAATTTCAATGTACCGTAAACGCTATTTTTTTGTGTGCCCATTAAAAAAAAATAATAATAATAAAATGCTTGGTAGATGAAGCATTTACTAAGGCCCAATAGGCTTGGCCAAAAAATATGCATATGACAGAAATTTAAAACACATAGTTGGTGGGTTCCAAAATCACTATAAACGTATCCGGTTTAGCCAAGTGTACTGCATAAATTTGAGCATGTTAAAATTTGCTTATGTCCCTTATTTAAACAAGAAAGATGAAATTTTACAGATAAAAATAATATTTTAACTGGATTATCTGAAAATGTGAAGTTTGTCACTTAGGTACTTTTAGCATTGAGGACTTCAATTCACTTTTTTCAGATATTAACAGAGTTGTACTTAAGGATTGCAGCAGATCATTTGCCAGAATTATGGAAGAAGCATCTTCTAAATTGTCGAAAGTAATGCAGCCTCACTTTTAATTATAAGGGATTTAAATACAGTAATAAAAATCTCTATGTAACCATTAACTTACAGAATATTTCTTTTTTTATTCATGATTTAAAATAATATTAACATTTTTTTCCAAAGTTTTCTGATTGTTTATATTGCCATATAAATTTACTTATTAGCTTTAGGATATGTATTTCTTATTAGTTTATGTGTATGATACTGTCATTACTGGTTCAACAAATGTATTAAAAAACAGATAGGGGTAAATTGTCAAACAAAAAAATAATTTCAAACATTGTTTATTTCAGGTGTTTGGCTTCAAAGTTGTGGAACTTGAGGGTAAAATGAAAGATTCATATATTATTATCAATGAAATAAATTTTACAGAAAAAGACACATTTGTAGAATGGTAAGTTTCACTGCTTAATATTATGAAAACTTCAGCTGAAAGTTTAATAAAATTGTTTCTCCTGGGCATATGTTTACAACTTTGTCTTCTTCTTCTTCTATCTTTAAAGGGCCCGCGATCAATGTATTGATCATCCTGGCTCCTTTGTTTTCTTCAGTTAAATTTTTTTTCATTAAGTAATTGAATAGTATTAGTAAAGTATAGGATACTGAATCAAAATATAGTTGTGTTGGTGCCCAATGCAATGTGGTCCCAAATACACTGTATTGCCAGAGGTACTTATCTGTTTCACATATCAGAAAGCCCCACAAATAATTAAAGTTTAAAAAATATTAACAAATAAAATTTCGAAAAATTAATAAATTGAATAACTCTAAATTCTACCCCTGTGTAATTTTTTGTTTAGAAAGTACATTTTCACTATACAAACTTTCTCTTGCAGGTCAGAAGAAGATGATACTAAAATGGCCCTTGTCTCTGTTATCCTGGGTATGATATTTATGAATGGAAATGTTATCCATGAAGGTTAGTCCTAGTCTGCAGATGTTTAAATCATTTCTCAGCAAATATTTGTGAAAATTAATTGGCAATACTTCTATCCTAATTGAAAAAAAAATGAACTGCATGTTGTATTAGTGATAAAATATCTGGCCAGAGTTACTTTTTAAGTGGGAACACTTTTCTGAATTTTAGAATAGTTAAAATAAAATGATCTATTTAATTTTTGTTTGCATCATGTAGTAAAGAATAGACTATTTCCATGTTTTCAGATGCTCAATCAGAGGTCTTATAATGACTGCAGACTATTTCCATGGCTAAAAATCAATTAGAAGTCTTTCCAATTAATGAACTAGGCCTAGTTCTTGCTTAGAGTCTAAAGTTTCCATAAATTATTTATATCTATATAAACTTAAGGATTATTATTTTGATGGTGGAAGGCCCAAATGTTGATTGATTTGAGTATGCCTGTATATAAAATCAACTATCAGTAAATTCAGCAAAATATCTTTGAAATGCCAGAAGAACCATCAGTAGTACCGGTAACATTAAAAAAAAAAGTTTTAAAGTTAATAATAAAATATGTCATGCACCACATGAACTGATTTATAATATTAAATGTCTATGCATTTTAAGATTGACTATACAAATTAATCACAATACAGTACTTTCTATGTTGTACAAGAGATAGGTGACTGTTAGTAATGTTATTACTGGTACAGTTGTGGTTTTTGGATATTTTTCCTCAGATAGTGAGTTGTTAACAGTAGTTATATACCAGTACTACAAAATCAAATATGTAACAAAAGATCAAGTGAATCTAATATCCAGGCATAAATTGATAAATAAATAAAACAACTAAAAAAAAAATAATTCATCCAAATTAGCATTAAATTTTAATGACAATAATATTTTATCCAAAAGAATGCCCCACAGAGAGAAGAGTTCTCAGTGTAACCATAAATGATTTTTTATTTTTGGACACCCATGGCGCCAGAATGATTTTAAATGACCTGGTTTTAAATTGTAAAATACTGGTATGTTGGTTTTAAATTTGAAAAAATTGTCCCCTTAGGCATGAATAAATATAGGGACATAACATGGTAGAACATTTTGGATAGAAATAAGCCTATTTCTTCTTAAACATGTTTTCTCCTGTTTAAAGCATTGTGTATACATAATGTATTATTTTTTAATGTGATATAATGTAATGACCATCTTTTTTTTTCCCTTAATGTTATAGATGATTTATGGCAAGCTCTCAAAAAGCTTGGTTTGAGCCCAGAGTAAGTTTTACAGACATAATTGGGAACCGGTACAACAATGTTTTAATTTTTAACACTTTTACATGTTTTTTCAATAGAAAAGAAGAAGTTAACAAAAAAAAATGTTAATTGCAGCTTATAGTAAACGAATTCTTGTGTTTTATCTGTAACCTATTTATTTATGAAGATTAGTGAGCGTCAGTCTAATACTAATAATCTACTGTAGAGCTCAGCAACCTTTTTTCACTTGTGGCGCACCCCAGGCCTTTCCATGAAATCTGTGGCACAGCACAATTAAAAAAATGCAAAATATGCTAAATAAAATAATGTACCAGTAATTAACATTCATTATGGCATGTAATTGTAATGCTGCAAGCTATTATATTACAGTACTGCAAGGTATTATATTACAATGCTGCAATGTATTATATTACAGTACATTGCTGTCTCTATCAACTGTGTATTGGACATGTTCTGCTATAGCAGAGTTTGACAGCTTGTCAACAATGTTTGCACAATGGTTTATTATGGGCCTCCTTATACTTATACTTTGTAATTTTCCTCCTCTTTGAGGCATTTTAAGTGGCACATCTGGCATCATCTCAGGGCACACCAGTTAGCCGCTGCACACTGGTTGCGGAGCTCTGATCTTGAGCACTGAATAGTTTATTAAGATGATTTTTTCCATGTTGATCATTTAGAAATAGATATATAAATAAAATTAAGTTTAATTATGGATAATCATCTTTAAAATAAGGAGTGAAAGTGCAATGAAATATAGGAGAATGTTAATTCATCACCAGTGAAAAACACAGCACCTTTGGTAATGTTAAGTCTTTGATAATGGAAGACTTTGTGAGGCAGGGCTATATAGAGATTGTACAACAAACCACGCAGGAACAACCAATCAAAGACTTCTACTGGGGACAGAGGGCTATATATGAGCTGAGCAAGCGTAACGCCCTTGAACTTGTATGCCAAGTAAGAAAATTTGATTATGTCTGTAGGATCCTTTAGCTTTAGATATGAATTTTCTAGTTCTCTTAGCAGGAAAAAAGACAGCAGAATATTTAATTTAGACTTCATTCACAGAATAATTTAAAATTGTACTGGCAATTCAGTGAGCTAGATTACTTGAAAAACAAATGAATTTATACAATATGGAATATTTTTAAAAAAGTCTCCCTACAAGCCCACGATAGGCCAGTGGGAAAAGGGTAGAGCTAAAATCGTCGCCATGGAAGCCTTCGTCTCAGACGAAGGCCACCCTGTCTCTATTCAGAAATGCACCTTAAAAGCATGATATAAAAAAACATTAATTATTTAGTCTTTTAAACACAATTTGTGCCCATATTTTAAGACAGGTAAATTAATCAAGAAAGCTACTAATTGAACTTATTCATCACATAGAAAAGATTATTCTGACAGCTATTTTTATCATCACCCCCAATTATCAGAAGGGTTAAGAAATCTGACAGTTTAGATTTAAAATATTACATTATGAATTTGAAATATAAATTACTTATTAAAATGGTTAGTAACAATTTATTTTTTAAAATTTAAGAGTTTTTTATTTTCTAAAAAGATAAATGAAACAAAGCCGGAAGACTGGATACATCAAAGTCAGCAAGTAGAGCAAGATGAAGCTGCTCCTTCAACAGAAGTTGAGCCAGGACCAAGTGAAGCATCAATGTCAATTACAAGTACAGCCTCAACTAGCAGGTCTAAAAAACGATGATGAAATGCCAGCTCTTGTTGTACAGTGATTAATTATTAACAACCATTGCCACATCATCAAGATATAAATATTTTATTTATTGTATCTCTCACCCCTGATATTGGATTAAATTTATATCACTAGCCAAGCTACATAAAATCAAACCATTTAAATTGTTATGTATCTTACTTTGAACAAAGTTTTATTAAATGCAGTTAATTCAGGGATATAATATTAACAACATAATTAGTGGACTGCCTATAAGCAACCGCACAATTAATCATTTGCAGATAAACTTATTTATAGATAGTAGAATATTCAATTTTATAAATTATAAAGGCTTTGATGTCACCATGAGTTTATCTTTTAATAGACATAATGATGTTATTTGTATAACGGTAATAACAGCTCATTAACAGTTTAATAAAATATTTATGATTACATTTCATAGCACATACTCACTGCACAAAATTAACTTAAGGAATACATTTGTATTTTAACATTTTTATTATAATAAATTAATCATCACATCATAATTACCCATTCATTGTGTATATGATAAAATAGTGTCAATTGGTATATCCAAGCTTAAATTTTGAAGAAAAAAAATCTCACTTTCTTTTTATTTTTAGTGATATCTATATTTTCAATATTGCAGACTTGTTTACAGATACTATTTTGGCGTAAAATGTACATTTTAGACACATCTTTTACCATTGTACGCTGAGATCTGTCAAAACTATGATTTTACAAGACCGGGTTAAAAAAAAATTATATTCCGTTAAATATTGTGGGCCACCGGATGTATCATAAACTAACTTAGTTCTTCAGTTAGCGATTTTTTTTATTTTTGGCATACACGCACCTTTGAATTACATATCATATACATCATTTTAGTGTGACTGTAAACGCCATTTCAGTGTACTAACCCCTTTTTTGGACTGATATTTTTTTTAAAATTGCTTCAATAAGAAATAAACTAACGATATCAAACAATTTTACTATTTAGTAATTACTAAAATAAAAAGGGTTTATATAATATAAACACGACTAGGTAAGGGGAACTTAATTTTCCACAAGCATTACCATTAATGTAGAATAATGCAAAACTATATTCAGGTATACACAAAAGTGCATCCCTACATTTTGAATTTATTAAAAAAAATTCTGGGAAGGGGGCTCAGCCTCGGGTGATTTCAGCACGCATCCTTAATTTTTCGCTCCCACACCACATCTTCATCTATCTATCAATGTGGCAAATGCAGGCAATTTTTATTTGCATTAATGCACTATATGTAAATATATTACCCTCAGTCATCTACTTTGAGAAGTGACCTTTATCAGGCATGGGATGCAAAGTTATTGTATACATCAAACTGTATGTCTATTAATTTACTATTACATTTACTATTACATTACAGTATTGTAAGATTTTGAGATGGTTAAATACTATTCTGAGACTATATTGTACTATTTAGGAATTCCAGAGTAACCAGGTCTGCAAATTGTACTTTTATCCCTCCCTGACATTTCTGTGTGTGCGCCTTCTCCACAGTTTCATTTTCATGCCACATGTGTTTAGGATATTCCCCTTGACATTATTTTTGACATCATTATTTTTGGGCCACTTACATTTGACACCATGCCAAACTTGTGTGCCTATTACCATTATGTTTTCCTGGATCCACCACTAAACAGTAAAATAATTTAAATGAAATCTCTGTTTCTGTGACATAGCAATCATTAATTATATTATTTTGAAATTGATGTACCTTTTTTTGGGGGGGGGGGGGAATTCTTTACCTGTACGCAGGGTCTCTAAAAAGGATTTCTTTAAAACAATGGAACAATCAAGTCTATTGTTATATTTAAACAGTGTTGCAAACATTTTAATTCTATCAATTTTCTTAGATAAAGGAATAAATATAGTAGTCTAAAGGATTTAAAATATTTTATTTATTTACTGTTGAATGAACGAACTGCTTATTCATCCACTATTAAGGTGATCAGAAAAATATATACTACCAAATGTAATTGATTTGTAATGATTAAGCTATGACAGCAGTTCAATGATAAAGAGTCACTGTCAAATACTTTTTATTTTAGAGCATTAATTCCAAATTTTGTTTTACTGACAGCCTATGTTCTTGGCATTGTATTTTGGAATCCTCAGCTCATGTAGTACAATTACAGTATTAATTATTATAACTTCACAAGTAAATGAAATAATTGGAAAAATAATCACATAAATATATACCTTTAAAAAAAACCTGATAAATTTACTGATTTTATTTCCCAACCTTGTCGAATTATCAGCTGAAAACTTCTATTTATGACAATGTGGTGGACATTAGGATAAATTTTCATATATTTATGATAACTTATGTACCGTAGTTATCTGTTTGCCATTATTTTTAATGGATGTAAAAAAAGAGGTCAAATAAATTTTATATCAATTTTTTTGTGTGAAGTCCTGTTGTTCAAATAATAATAAATAGTCCTAAATTATTGATTGCATTATATAAAACAATGAAATTACAAAGTAAGGATAAATAGACAAAAATAAATATTTATAACATAAACTTCCCCACAAACTTGTAGTGTACCTTATTTAAAATAAATATCTATGCACAACACTCTGAGAAATACCAGTTTGATTTAAAATACTTCTGGGTGAAAATAAACCTATCCTCATCTCTTGCAATTATTACTGTGTAAACATTTGTCTATCTAAAGTGTAGTGTAATCCAGACCTAGTCAGCAGTATTTCATTATCCCGAACCTCTGAGTAGATAAATCAAGACTGACACACCTAATGTTGCCATACCACCTAATGCAGTTATGGTGAACAAAGCATTTTTATTAACATTTGCTTCTAGCCTCTGCTCAGTCTTTTGCAGCAGCAGTTCCAACTCTGGACCCACATAAATCACATTGTTGTCATGACTACTGCTCTGATGAACTGCTAATAATCTTTGAATCTCTTTGAGCTGTTCAGACAATGCCCTAGATTGTTTTCCCACCTCTTCTAGAACTGCATTTGTGTTCTGGCTTGTATCTTTGAGGTTGACAGAAAGCTGATCTGTAATATTGTTATTGCTGGTGTTAAAGGTCTCCAGGGTTTCAGAGTGATTCAGGACTTGCTGGACAAATTCTTCAAGTTTAGAATGTTGGGTGACAACATTGTCCAACATTTTGTTGGCTAAAGTTTTGTACTCCAATGTATTTTCAGCAGATTCTGTCACTATGGCCCTTAGCTCCCTCATTCTCTTAAGGTTGTTAACTGTTGAACCCACGATTCCAATAATGGCCCCTATCACAGAGCCTATGATTGACCAGTATTTTGTCTTTTCTGCTCTTGCCCTTTCTTTTTCATGACTTTCTCTCAGGGCAGCACTCAGTAGTGCAAAGAAGTCTCTCTCTGCTTTATCTAAGGTCTTAATCTTGTTGCTCATTTCTCTCTCTATAAGAAGGGCTTCATGTTCTTTTTTAACTAACTCAATATAATGTGTATCAGTTCTGCTGGTTTTTTCAAGTTCTGCACCAACTCTCCTAACTTCAGCTTGTACTGAGAGAAGTTCCTGTTGCATGGCACGTCTGTCTTCTTGAACTTGTAAAAACTTCTGCTCTGCCTGATAATTGGGAGGGAAAATATCAAATTTATTATGCTCCGAAATGATATTAATTCAGAAAAAATGTGCACTGTACCCATAATAAAACATTCCAATTAGATTGATTGAGTTGGGATGGATCTTTGAACCATAAAGGACAAGAATTTATTGCTATTAACCCATCTGAAAGAGACAATCTAAGCTCTACTGCATATTAACAAGGATGTGACTATTCGCACCCGGGTACCAGAAGTGAGAGGTTGGGATTAAAAAAATATTTAAAATTGTAAAATATTATTGTTGAGTTTATAAGACAAAATGAGGTATCAAATGAAAGATAATTGAATGGACTAAATGTTTGTAAACTTTCTTCAGTTTAACTAAAATAAACTACCACAAATGACATCCGAATAGCATTTAATCAAAATGGCCCCGGACACGCAGCACCGCCATTCGCACCCAGGTCCCATTAGACCAATGCTATTCGGATGTCATTGCAATCATGAGTGAGCATTTAAAATTTGGTGCAGTGCAATATATATTTATTTCAAATGATGGTAACATGACTTTCCTTTTTAAACCAAAAACATGCTTCATTATTTTTGACATGATGCCTTTTCACACAACTATGAGATTGACATAACAAAAAAATGTCACCGCTCTTGCCCCCTGCCTCTAGTAGATGGCTCACGTTATTTGTGGAGGACCCCTAATGACGTTTATTGACATGCTCATGATTCTTAAGAAGTTTCAAGTTTTGACATTACTGGTAATTTTAGTTAGGATAGTATAGGCCTACTTATTAATTTTGGGGGGCTCGGTTCAACCAGAAGGAAGCCCAAAAAAAGTTCCAACCTGAAGGCTTGTCCTGGAACTGTAACTCTTGTTTTTTTTTTTGTAGTAGTAGTAGTAGACAAGGCCTACCAAGACCAATATACCAAACTCTACTACTACTATAGACTATAGACTGTCTATAGGCCATACTATAGCTATGTTCTTATGGTTAACCCAAAGGTTATAACTATAGGCTACCATGTACTTAGTTGGGTTTTTTTTTCTCTTGAAAGTAGAAAAACAACACAACAGTATTAATTATTATTAAGTTTAAGTAATAAGTGAAAAAGGAATGAGAAGAAATAAAATAATCTAAAATAAAAACTCACACAGACGACTTTTTCCTGTGCTTGTTTAACTTCTGTTAACCCAACAAAATCTTCATACATTTGCATTAAGTGACCAAGACGTTCTTGCGACGTCAAAACCACAGAAGACGAAAGAAGATGAGAACGGGTTGATGTTGGATTGTTAGTCCTATTATTTTGATTTGTTTCTATGTTACCGTTTGATACGCCTACGTTAGATTTCTCTTCATTCTTTGATTCATTTCCAGTAGACTCATTTTTTGTACCACTAGCTTTTGATAAACATCTTCCATTTATAATTTTTTTACAATAAGAAGGCATCAAGATACATTTAGCTTGATCGAAATACGATAAAATCAAAGTTCTATTTGTACAAGAAATTCGTAATCTTATCATGGGCGCGGCCATTTTACTTTCCCCCAACAGTGGAACTCTTCTAGGTAATGAAAATAGTAAAAATTATAATCAAATGTAAAATTTCTCAAAATTATTATATGCACGCGCCTACTCATTTAAGCCTAGTGGTCTAAGCCTAAGCCAAGCTCTTTCTATTTTAAAGTTCTCTAGTGGGATTTATTAACACCACCCTTTAAGTACGTCACGCTCCGGAAAGTGGGGGGGGGGGAGAGGGGGGGGTAGGGAGGTAAATATCATAATTAGTGTGATCACACATTTTTTAAAAAGTTTAATATAAAACCGAAATTGACTGCAGTAGCTTTCTGTTATGATGGATGTATTCTTGCAGAAGATACCACTTTGATAATTTAATAGTTAAGTTGTGAAGTGTTTTTAAAGTTTGATTAGTTGTTAAATCAAGAGAACTTTATGTTTTCTGCAATAACAGTGACAAGACAAATTTTTTTTTATAAAAGTAGACAAGAATTCATAAAAAAAAAAACGGTGTACAAAGAAATAAATTAGAAAAAACAGCAAAACTACTTAATAAAATATTTTGTTTATTACATACAGCTTGTCAAATGAAAGATAAGCAGTGAAACAAGGAAGGAGTTTAGAAAAAACAGAAAAAAAGCAATCAGTATGACAATTCTTATAGTCTTAAATGTTACCCTCTTAAAACTGGCTCTTAATGTGAGACCTTGCTGATAAAGGCAGGTTTTAACTGAAACAAGAAAATGTTAATGAAAGGCTTGCAGAAAACTAAATTATTTCTTAGTTCCTTTAATTTTATAAATTATAAGTCATAATCCTGATTGACTGCTTTAAGTTTAAGAAAGGTGTAACTTGTACATCTGAAAACAGACACAATTTTTAACGCAAGCATATTTTATTTATATTTTAGTCATTCAATGAAATAGTGGGTTAAGAAAATGTATTAGGTATTTAATGCCAAATTAATAATTAATTAAGATGGCAAAAATATTATTTTCTGTATTTATATACTGACCAACCGAACTGAGAAACAATAAAATTAGTCTTTAGGATGCAACAAACAGCAATGAATAATTTTTAAATAAAATAATATGCCATGCAACAATTTTAGCAAAGGCAGGTGTCAACAATATAAAATGATATTACAAACATATGTTCATATTTCTTGTGTTTTAGTTCCAAAATTTCACGAATAAATTTAATTTCCTTTCTAAACACAGTGATAAGGATAATGTAGTTAATATGAATGCTTTAGCAGCATACAGAAAAACTCCATAGCAAGTGGAATAGGCATTCAAAAATACAGTCATGTTCCCATGGTGAATAGGCACATCAGGAGTTGACACTTGGCATAAAACGACTTAAGTTGTGGAGAAAAAACATGATGTAAAGTTCATTTTCTAATGTTGGCCTTTATTGCCTGAATACTGTTTAAATAAAGCAACTAAATTTTAAATTATGAACTAAAATAAACTAAAAAGCACAATTTAAACTTTTGTGTGGGTAGTTTAATTTAATGCAATTAGCAGCAAAACATTAAAATATGCTAGGATCTTTTGATTGCTTCTTCAACTAAGATATTCAAAATCAAGGAATGTACATAATAAAGGTTAATAGAGCTCAAATATAATTGAGTGTGGCCATGATTAGAAGAAGAAAATCTATTTATTTCAGATTTTAAGCATCACCTTTTTAAATGCAACAAACTACATCATTTTTAACAAAAGAAAGTAAAATTTTATTTATAATCTGAAAGCAAAGGATAAACTTATTAAAACACAACATTTGATTGAAATCATGGGGTTAACTTGCCAACACAGGACTCAACAGCATTCTTCATTTCAAACATTTTGTTTGTTCTCATTATCTTATTTGATTTAATTGTCGCTTGATATTCATATATAAGTATATCAGGTTGGCAACTTCATTGTGTATTATTTTTTAAAAAAAAACAATATAGTTTAAAACATTTTTTAATTACACACTTTTAAAGACAAAGAGATATTGCAACAATAAGAATAGAACATTTGTTTCCAGTTAAAATGTCCCTTAATATCACAACCATTAAAGGTTTCAGATCAAATGTGTGTGGTCTTTCCCACATTTAACTTATCAAACAATGCTGAAGTAGATAATTTATATTTGTCTCATTAAAATAAAATATTTGATGCAAATTGTCAGGTCAAACAAGTAAAACGTTAAAACGAATTCAGTGTAAAATAAAAGTAGTAGGCCCTACACATTTCAAATGCATAACATTTCTAAAGTTTAGCTCTTTTATTTTGCAGCTTTGAGGACCACTGGTATAAAGCAATAATTTTGTATCTGTTGCGGAGAATTAAAATTAAAGATAATTTTGATTTTAATTTTTTTTAAATATTTTTATTAATTTTTACCAAGCCAAACCCAAAATGTATGATCAATATTTACTAAAGACCAATGCAAATGTCAAGAAAAAAAATAACAGGACTAGTAATAGTAAGAACAAACATGAATATAGTTGGTAATCTGAAACAATAGTATTTTGTACAATTTGTTTGAATACAATAAAATGTATTACACAGGAAACAAAGAAACAAACCATAATAAATGTTGAAAAGTACCAAGCTTTAAAACATATCTTCAATGTCCTAAAATTCAAATCAAATATATTAAAAAAATTTTTTTTTAAAAACATAACTTTAAACAAATAACCATCAATTTTAAATAAAAATATAATTACAAGTAAAGCATTTCCCATTGCCAATGCCCAAGTCAATAGAAACAACTCAACACAGCCTGTAGAATATTGCATTCTACTTGAGAAAATTTCCTTTACCGATACTCAATTTAAACCTTTATTAAAATCTCTACAGATTTGTTAATTATTAATTTAACTGTTATTTAATTGTTGGTCAAAACTATCAAACTTAAGGTTTGAAGATGTCATTTTTGAAATCCCCTCATTTTGGCACAGAAAATAATTAGTCCATTCAGCCTTAGCTTCAACACAAAGGGGCAAGTCAAGCAAGGCCTACATATTTTTCAGAAAAATTAAAGAGCTATTTGACAAAGGGGCTTTTCTTATAGACATTCTTCATTCTGCATGTTTGGCATAGTGAAGTATTACTAAAGTGTTCAAAACATGACCATTTGGTTTAAAAAGTAAATATAGCTTCATGGCATATAGATATCTCAATGACATTTAACAAGGATATGGGGATGTTAAAAAAATAGAGTGCATATAAATTTTATATGAACAACAGCAGTGCAAAAGGAATCAGTCATATAATCATAGCTGAAATCAAACTAACACAAAGGTTGAACAGGTTCATTTATCTCACTAGGGACGGATTAATATTTCTGAACCACTCACATAAAAGTTAAGCAAAGTAGTTTACGGCCAGCCTGTGTAAAGTAATGCTGCTAACAACTTGAGATAGAACCTTTTCATACATTTAATTTGGTTAATAATTTTACTTGAGGAATATTGTCTTAGAGTTGATATCAATCTTTTAAGATTATATAATATAAGGGCTAACGAATAGCAGGCTAGTTAAGAATAAATCATGCAGTTTATGTGGCCCACTCAAGAACAGCTGATCACTGATATCTTGAGGTAAAGAAGTCATGTTGAAGTGGATAGCAATAACAATATTTGTAAGGCAATGCTGTCTGAACCAGAAATGTTTTAACATTACCACACTTTTGTGATCAGACGCGCAAGCGCTGGAGCATTTCGTTGTAAATTAATAGTTGAGTGTTAATTTCAGATTTTAACAGTTTGCAAGATAAATTCAATACTTGCACGATGTACCATCGCTTGCGCTTGCACACGACACTCATGTTTTTTTTGCACACAAAACGTGTCTTGAACGCAGTCTTGTGGGAGGAGTGATAATTTAGAAAAGCACAAAGTGAGGGACTACTTTTATTGACAGGAGTAGAATTCATTACATTTGAGAGACAGAGTTGAGCAGACGTCATGAAGAGTACAGACGTAGATTATGAATGTCCAAGAAGTAGAAGTGATTTTATATTTTGATATGCATATTATGATATATTACTGCTTTAAAATGATAAGTTTCATTCCAAGGATTATTTATTATATTTCATAAAGTGTATCGTGTATAAAAAATGGACTTCCTATTTTAATTGCTAAGAAGTGGCAGATACTTAGCAGAAACAGTTAACAATTTACATAACTGTTATGACTCGTGAATCTAACTCACAGTATGAACAGTTACATACGAATTCAAATATTATGTATCTAAATTATCATGTAGTCGAGTATCTGAGCAAAGACCCTGGCAAGCCTTCTACGGTCTTAAAGTGTCTTATTACCAGATGTTTATGCAGAATGGCTTCTATGATAGACATTTTTGTCTCCTCTCTGAAACAACCACTATAGGTACATTTATAAAAAAAAATCTGTTAATATTAAATTTAAAAATTCATTGTTTACTGTGCTATTTTGAAGACAATATTACATTCAGAAAGTATACGTTGTTTGTTCCTTCAACATATCTTTGAAAATGAGTGAAACAAAGTATGGAAAATCCTGAAGAAAAAAAAAACACAACAAATCCCTCATCAGCGGCCTAACTTGTCAACACATTCGTTGTTTGTTGCTTCTTTTTTCAGGTTTTCTCATACTTTGTTTCACTCATTTTAATTTTTCTAACCTGAATGCAGTCTCTCTCCCTTATTAAAATTTATCATATCCTTGAGAAATACATATAAAAACCATCAGTTTGTTCCTGTGGCACTGTCCTCATCACTTGATCTATAAAAGCTTTTCTTCTTTCTGGTTATTGACTATCCTAAATGAGCCAGTAGAAGATGAAAGTCCCCAGTGCTACCCAGTGGCTTAAGAAGTTTAAACTAGACCACTTGCTCAGAGTGTGCCACATGGTGTAGCCCTATGGGAAGAAACAAGTCATCATTAACATGTCTGTTCTAAGCCTAATCTGAACATGTAGAGAAATTCAAAATTTAGTAGAATGCAGATAGAGGTCCACCTGGTCATGACTTTGTTGAAATAAAGTGGTAAAATAAAGAGCGAAATCTTTATCTAATTGACCATTAAACAATTAAAAAATTCATATATTCATGTAAAAGAAATTAAACCATGTTTCACATTTACAAAAAATGCCTACCTTTTCTTCTCCATCGCTGCTGTCAAACATAAGTCCAAGGTATGCGAGATGAAAGATAGCAAGAGCACCAAATGCTAAATTAGTCACCAAAACAAGAGGGTGATTCTGAAAAGGAATTTCAAGAAATTATTTGATCTTTCTTCTTTTATAAGGAATATGTAGAGAGTTTTTCTCCACATGCTTGTTCCAACTTATAATACAAGTTATATTAATTTTGTATGCATACGTGTGCATGTTCATTATGTTTATCTATGACAAGGATATGCGGACGACTTACAACAGCCACAAATTGAAACTCAATAGCTTCCACTTATGATGTCTGTGGTAAGTTCTGTTTAATAAGTCCTTATGTTAACACAAGTTATACACTTACACTTTTGTACTTGTGATCACATTTCTCTTTACACCTTTTGGCTTGAATGCAAGCATCAAAGATTTTAGAAAGTCTCACTCTCAAAACTGAAATCATAAAGCTTAAAAAATATATCAAAGAATAAAGATTTTCTGGCACATAGATTGAAATATTTAAGTCACTTTAATAACCGGTACCATGTTTGAATATTTTTGTATAGTTTAAAAATATCCGTTATTTAGAAAACTTCATCCATACACAAACAGAAATTTAAAGGGTAACAGTAATTCATCAAATATTTTTTGAGTTGATAATTAAAATTTGAAATGTCTTTTCACATTTGAAATCTCAACATACATTTGATGTTACAATGTTTTTATATTGACTAACAAATCCTACTTCAAAATTGTGTAATAAAAAATATGTCTCCTTTTATTGCTGTATCCATATAAAATAAAATGTATGCATCTGATCTAAGTCTGAGGTGGACATGTTTGTACGGTGTAGCAAATAGTAGCATGATTCCATTCAACCAAGTGGCCATTATATATAACCTTTATATAACTCACCAAACTCTGTGTAAGAATAAAAGCCCAAGGACAGAAGAACTGCTGCCAGTTGGAAATTAAGACCCTAAAATAAGACAATCCAAGGCTTACCTTAAATATGAACAGCTCGTGTCAAGAAAAGCATTAAATTAATTTTAATAGTTAGTTTTCCAAAGTGTTAACATGTTTGTTTAAAGCTTTAAATAAATGAAACTGAATTAGTAACAATTTAATACAAAAGCTTGTGAACTCATCTAATCTACATTTTAATGAATAAATGATGACATTATACAAAAGCTAAATACAGTAGTTAGGAACATATGCTGCAACAAAATACTTACATGTAAGAGTGAACTGGCTGCATATGTTAAAATTATGGCTAGAAAAGTTCCATAAGGACGGACCATTTTGAAAACATCTGGAACAATAAATAATATGCTGTTGTAAATAAAATCTTTTCACAACATTATTCATAATATACTTTAGCAGGAAATAAACAATACACTATTATGGAAGTCTATTCCAAAATAAAAATAATATACATTAAAATTTATTCCATTACTAAAGTTTTTATTGCAATAGAAGACAATTTAACATTTATTATCACTAATGTCTTTACAAGAAGAATCCTTGTTAGAGATTAAAATGGTTTTAAAATACCGTACCAGGTAACATTATTGACAGTATTGCGCCATGAGATATCAAAATCACAATTTTTAACTCAAATACTCATCTTGCAAAATAAAAACTTAATCTTTTCAGCAAGTTATAAAATGACTGAATTAACAAATGTCATTTTCTTAAAACATAGAATATTCCAATTTATTTTGTATGGAACACAAAAAAATTAATCTTGCAAAAGAAAAAAAAACAATTTTACAAGTTTTGAGCCAGAAATGCATTGGTAGATTCCAGTTGGTAACAACCTCAACAAGTGATCTAGGAATTTCAATGTGCTGGGGCCTTGCAATATTCCTGTGAAGTAATTAAAAAGCTTTATAGTGTCACAAGACCAATCACAACTCTCTTCTTAGTCATATTGTGTTTAAATTGATTTCTTTACAATTTTAACTATTTTTTTTAAAACTAAATTTTGTTACCACTGTAGAGCAGATCCACCATCAAACTGAATTCCACTAAGGGTAGATGTGGAATCAGATAGAAAGCTAATGCTATAGTGGCTAAATCTAAAAGATTGGGCATCTCGATAAGCCAAGATCCACCTGGAAAATAAGGCATTAAACAAATTATGTTCTCTCTAAAGTGGCATGGGTCAAATACAAGTTTTGTGTTCAATATCTGATATTATAAATAGATTATGAATTTGGAATTGAAACTAAGATCCATAAGTAAATACCAGAACTGATTACTTTAAATGCATTAAACTTCTACAGTCGAACCGGCTTATCTCAACCTTGGTTAACCCGCCAACCATGTCATGTCGACTTTTTTTGGATTGGAACCGTCAAATTCTCTCTTTGTCTTAGCATTTTCTCCTTGGTTATGTCGATTTGTTTTATGCCGCCGAACCCTGATATCTCAAGCACAAAAGGCAGCCAAATTTGCTACTTTACGTCGGTTATCTCGATCCCCTGACCGATCACCGGCTTTTGAACTCCGCAAGAAGAAATAGCAAACAACAAATAAACAAGTTTGGCATAATTAAAAATAATTATTTATTTCTCAAAATACAGGAGTGAACGAACCCCTAAGTTTATCTAGTAATGATCATCCTCCTAGTGTGCACAAAACAGACTATAAATTGTTCATTTTCACTCCTTACATAGACAAAGGAAACTAGATCTCCATATGACCCCGTTACCTACCAGCATTTTCCGGTCACGGATTTATGATCTGTTTCCCATATCCGAAAAATATATCGGCATGCACCGCTTTGTGAAGTACCTAATATTATAGACCTATTTTTTATATATATACGGGTAACTTACATTTGTATAACATTCGTTAATAGAAAGTAGGTCTACTAAGTATGGGCCTAAGCAAGCTATCCTAAAACTAAAATGAGTACTTCACAAATAAAGTATTTATAATATTAATATTCTAATCATATACAGGATACAGTCTAATCAGTCAGTCTACATCTAATATAAAGTAACCTAAATCTAGTCTAGGCCTAAAGCATATTAGGCTTTGGTCCTATTGCCTATTAATTATTATTGACTTAAATTATTAAATTAGGCATAGCCTAAAATTTAGGGTTTATTTAGTGCATTAGACTCATTATCATTTATTAATGCACCATCATGTACATAAAGAAATTTCAAGCAATTTTAAATATATTGCCGCCATATTGGTTTTTGTTTATCTCGATCATCGGTTATCTTGACGTTTTTTTGTCAAACCCCTAGACCGTCAACATAACCGGGTTCTACTATATTTTAAATGCCAATGCGTTAAACAACTATTTTTAAAATAAATTCCCTTTAAAATGAAATAACTAAATTTAACAATACCTCCAAGCTTTCCCCATTATTATCCAACTTGTCAAGCAGTTGGAATGAATAAGGCAAAACATGGCAAAAGACGAAGTAATTAAAACTTTAAATGCCCACAAGAAATTCTGAAATGTGAGAGGAAGGAATTAATTTAATAATTTCATGACTACAGAAATCTTTTTTTTTTTTTTAAACTCAATTTACAATGAACATATCAGTTGAGGAAAACTAAGCATCAAGTATGGATGGTGAAATGCACACTACATAAAAATCATTTCTGAGTTAGAGTCACTATACACAGGGCAAGTTTTATTCTAGTCACAGTCAATAGACACAAGGCAAGTTCTAGTCACATTTTAAGTCAAAGTTTCAGCTAAGGGTGTTGTACTTCAAAACCAATCATCTCCTTGCATCCCCCAACTTCCAACAACAATCCTCCCTTACTCTTGGCTGGATAAATAGACTCACTGTTTTCATTTTTTTACATTGCATAAATATTTCCTTATAAATTGTAGGAAAGCAATGATACAGCCATAGTGAGGCCAGTAGATAAACTTGCTTGCTTTGACTTAAGAGAGCTATTTTACTTCAAATACCTGCACTGGTTCAATAGCATCAATAGCATAAACTACATGTAATTCAATATCTGTTCCAGATTCTTACCAATGATTGCGCCTGACAATCAAGTATTCTAATATATTGATTATAGCTGACCCAGGGGCCAAATATAACAGTTCCAACATTGAAGCAGTAACCGCTGTATTCAAATATATTTGGCAGTTTGGGCACAGCACCTTTTCCAACATCAACCCCAAGTGAGATGATTTTCATGTACAAAATAATCTGAGCACCTTAAAAAAAGAAATTAGTATAGTAATGCCAAACATAGAATTCCTAGCTTAGAGCTGTATATCATTTAACAACAAAAATTAATTTGATCATGCTAGAGTAAATTGTGAAATAAAATTGGCAAAACGCATTGAAATGTATTATTTCGTACTGTACCTCCTTTAAATTTATATCAGATTTTGGCATCAGTGATTTATGTTAAAATTTATTCCTGATTATATTAGTAATTGTTTTTGACAACAACGTTAAACTTAGATAAACATTAAACATCTTAGACTTTAAAGATAAAAATGTAATTCTATTGGTAGGTAATTATAACAGTCCTATGAATAACAGCTTTAGATCAGTTCATTTTATGTGCGTTGTAAATGATTTTAAAAAAACCCACTGATTTACCTCTAATTTTATGCCAAGTAGCTGGTTCAACTAAAAACAATTCACTGAGAAAGAAAGTAAGTATATAAAAATGTACTAGTATAATGATTATTTAAAGAAAAACAAAGTAATAATGTTAAAAAATCTTTACAGAATAAATTTACATAATATCTAATATTTTACTAAATTTCATATGAATATGATGAATTTAAAAGAAAAGGAGACTCCATGATTTAAAAAAAAATAATTAAAATATAAAACTTGCTTCAGTTAGAGTTTTGATCAGTTTAAATAATGGCTTACAATTTATAATTTAATATTTAAAACTAATTTGTCTAATTTTTTGATTCACATCAAATGGAAAATAAAAAAGCTTAATACATGGTAGACACACAACTTTTATATATATATAAATATATATTATATATATATATATATATAAACTGAACCTCTCAACATTACCATGAAAGAGAAAGTACAACCACTGAGACTGCACCAGCAACACCACACCACTCTGGTTTCCAATGACATACAATTATGAATATAAAGTAGGTCACAGCACAACAGATAATAACATAGACAAGTGCCATCTTGAAGAGAGAGTGCAGTGCAAGTATGCCCAGTGCTGCACTAAATATGTGAACTATCCCTTGTGGTGCTCCAAGGGATTTTGTTCCTAAAAGTAGATAAATAATAAAAGTAAATTTACTGTCATGTTAACAATGAATATATTCTTGTGGTGGATACTCATGCCTGTAACGGTATGACTTTTTACATGCTGATTTAATATTGGATGAAATCAATTGAAGTACAAAAATATAGATATTGTTTGTTTGCTGACGAAGGCTTCCTGCAGATACATTCCTTGCTTTGTTGTGTTCCTTTTTTTCTTCAGGTTGAGCCATACTTTGTTTTACTTATTTCCTAATCTGATATAATTAAACAGTACACCCTTTGGTGACCATATTATCTATCTAAAGCTACTAAAATTTCAGCATACACCTGGGAGATCCCACTTTTAGAGCAACTGCTATAGAGATCAGATGGAAAAGTTGATTAATTATTTACACTAATTATTATTATTTATATTAGTAGTGGTTTTATATAGCGTGGTACCCCAGCCTAGGGCTGGGCTCACCACGTTGTACATCCAATTTAACAAACATAATTATGAACTTAAAAAAATTAAATTAACATACATAATTACACTATGTTCAATGAATTAATTATCAAATATGAAAATAGTTAACGTATTTTAATTTAATTAAAACTTTAATTGAAATTGATATCTTGCTACATATAAAATATAGCAGGTTGTACCATGACTTTTTATACTTTGAATTTCTTGATTCTTTCTGTTATTTTTGGTTCAAAATAATTTGATTACTTTGGTATCTATTTAATTAAAGTAAGCCATTTAAGACAGAAAAGGGACATTTGTCAATTATCATAGTTTGATTGAAATGTTCTGTGGCACTATTTTGGAGCTACTGAGGCACTTGTAGGTACAACTTGTATCCACAACTAACAACTTTTTTAAATCTCCCCGATAACACAAGATTCCCTGAACATGACATGCTTTACACACGTCTTTAATAAATGCTTACACTCTAACGTAGAAACTTAAGTTATGAATACACACCAAGTTGCCAAAGTTGTAAGATTATGCGGAATACAATGCATAAGATAAACAGCATTAGGAGCGCCTGTGTGGACTGAGTCCATGTAGGAATTATGCAGTTTTCATACAGTTCACTAAAGCCACCTTGTTCATACTCAAATGGAACTTGTCCTTTTCTGTAATATAGGTCAGAAAAGAGAATACAATTCAACTAAATTAAATATTGAATCTGTAATGAGAGCTTTGGCATTAGTTTAAAAAATGAAGCCTTTGTCATTTGTAGTTAAATAAGAGGAATATTTGATTAAACTTCCAATTATTTAGCTGTCAATATCCAAAAGAATATATCATATGGATTTTAATAATTATTTTAAATAATTAAATGTTTCCTCACTTTTGTCTGTAAGCTTCAAGAACCTCAGCCAGATCTGGGGTAAGTTCATCTTCGTGACTTTCCAGCATATGTATTAATTCTTCCTCTGAATAGCTTCCATATTCATTCATGTCCATATCCATATCATCATAAAAATCATCAAACTCCATCTTTCTTTATTTTATTCTGCAGTCTACCAAGAAGAGCTATTGTGAGTCTATGTAAATAGAATAATAAAATAATATAAAAATATACAGCCATCATAAATATTGGATACATAAGGGTAGAAAATGCTTAACGGTAGTTTGGCAAATAAAAACATTTCAACAATTTACTGGCTCACTTAAATATTCCTCTCACTTCATATAATGAAGAATCATTATTTATAGCTCACCATGTCTTTATCATAAAGCATAGATGTTTTTCACTTTTCCATGTTATTTAAGTGAGTGAGACAATGAAATGGTCTAGATCAGTGCTCCTCAAACTTTTCCCTCCCACAGAACACCTAGGCCATCCCCAAAATTTCATGGCACACCATAAATAAAAAAACAAAAAAAAATATTGAAACTTTTTAGCTTATGAATCAACTGGAAGTTCCATTGAAATCTACCAAGTTCACCGCTTATTATTTTTACTTCAGTAAGTTAAATTTCACCGTAATATTAATATCATTCCTTAATTGCAGAAATTCCTTTTAAATTTTAAGGGAAAGTTGCTTTGTAGAATTTTATGAAAATAATTTGTTAAATTATATCGGATCCCATTCGATAGCATGTATTTCTAGAAAACTTCATCTTCTCATCTTAAATGTGGTCGTATTACCCAGTTTTATTCTTTGGTAAATTTCTTAAATATTTACCGTTATTTTTTTTGCCGTAAGTCGAGATTATTTTTTAGCTTGTTTCGATTTTACTAATTTTAGGAGCATGGTAGAAATTCTCGTTCTCATTTTTACCTAGCTTTAAAAAAAATTAATTAATTCATTAGTACAGTAATCAAGTCAAACATGCAAGCAAGTTAGCTTGCCTTGTTGGTTCAGGATGAATGCAGGAATAGAAATTTGTAATGATGATTTTGTCATTTTTTACAAGCTAAACAAAAATCATCTTTTTAAAAGTTTATTCCTCATCAGTCTTCAGACCAACCCATGCAATCAAAATTAAATAATTGAATTGTGATGTGTCCTAGCTTTTAATAGACTCATCAAATTTAAATTACATGAAACTTGCTCTACTATACTTATTTAATGTCTAACATTATTTAGGCCCAAGCTTTAATTGAATAATTTAGATACAAATACAAGCTGGTTTAATAATTGGCTCCCAGCTGTATGTTTTGTTTTACATACAATTGAGTACAATTAATAGGGGAATGTGTAACAATGTTAACTAGTTTTTGAAACTGTAGCAGGCAATCCATTCTTTCTATTGCTTAGAAATTTGTATTAAAATGTTCTCAAAATTATGTTAAACCTTAAATTTTTAGTGCAATTACTTTGTTTTTTTAAATAGCTCATCAGTTCATTTGGGACACATTTCCTCTTTAAATCTATATGTTTATATCCCCTGATGTTGGCAGAATTATAACAGTTTTGTAATAAGCTAATCACTACGGTATTCAATTTTATCAACATGATTTTATTAAAATGTTGAGCTCACATAAACTGTGATTCTCTCCTCTTGGAGCCCTAATTCTGCAGCACACCTTCTTCTTCTCCATCTTAAGGGCCCACAATCAAAGTACTGATCATTTTGGCTCCTAGTTATGTAGAGGGGATTCAAGATGTTTCTATGCCTGTATTGAAGAGGATATTTCACTGGTGTCAAGGGCCACTCAGGGAGGTATTAGGAACTGGGGGTTGGAAGGCCTGAAGCTATAGACGCAAATGTCGCAAATTTTGTTGCCTCAACTGTTCCTTTTGGAAGTATGTTCCAGTCCCTGATTGTCTTTGGCAAGAATGAGCAGTTCCTGTACAGTGTTCTTGCTGTTAAGAGCCGGAACTGCCTGTCATGGTCTCATCACTGTCTTGTACCCTAAATCATAAAGATGGTGACCAGCCCAGTGTTTCCAGCATGCTGCCAACACTTGAGGTGTTCCTGTAGCAGTTCAGGAAAAAGCGTGCTGCCCGTCGCTGGAGCGCTTCCAACCTGTCAATAATCTTTTTGGGTGAATAGGTCCCAGACTCAAGATGCATAATCTAAAAGCGGTCAGAAAAAGGCTTTATAGGCTTTTTCTTTCCCACTGGAGTTGCTGATCTTTAGACTCGCCTTAAGAACGCTACGGTCTTGTTTGCCTGATTGCACACATTGTTAATATGCTCGTCCTAGCGGATCTCTCTTTGAATGGTAACACCGAGGTATCTTACGGAAGAAATTGGCTCAAGCAAATGGCCATGTAATTCGTAAGAATGGTATGGAGGGGTATTACTTCTGGAAACTGACAATGTCTGCCACTTGACAGGCTGAAATTCTCGGGAAGGTCATTGATTTATGCTAGGAACAAACAGGGGCCCAGCACTGATCCCTTGGGGACCCCTGACTTAACACCGTTAAAGGAGGAGCTTGTACCATCCACCACTACTACCTGACATCGGTTGCTGAGGAAGGTAGAGATTCATGTTTTGGTAGTGCCT